CTAATCACAATCGAGCGCTGTGTATAGTCGACGGCCACAAAGAACGGCGTCTCGCCCACATCCACATGGTAGGTGGCGTACACAATGTCGATGTCGCCCAGCTGGAGGGTTTTCTTCAGTGCGGCATAGTTGCACAGGCAGCAGTTGTCCTGTATGACAGCCGTGTCATCGCTACTGCCACAACAGCAGCCAAAGCATCTAAAAAAAAAAAAACAGAGAGAGAGATCAGAGAGAGATATACTCAATAAGGGGCGCTCAGCTGAAAGAGGAGTCTCCAGAGCTTCCAGTGAACAATGAACTCACTTCAGTTCGGGCAATAGATGCCACATATTGGTGCGATTGATGATGACGTACATGGGCCAGCCGTAGGCGCCCTGGGCAAAGTACATATAGTGTATGACCGTCTGGAAGAAGTCATAGTTTTTGGCATCGTTGAGTGCTAGGAACTGTGTGCGCTCCGTGATGGGTACACCGCTTAGGAACTCGTAGGTGCCGTTCTTTCGCTGCCTGACAACCGCCTCGCGCTCCAATCGCTGGAACTTTCGCAACAGCACCAGTCCGGCCACCACATCCGACGGCACCACATCCAGCTCGCGAAAGAAGTCGCTCAATAGGCGGGCAATGTCCGTAAACGAATTACGATTGCGCTCCGATGAGCCCATGCAGCAGAAGAGCAAGCGACAGCGATGATCCCAGCTATCCTGATAGGCGCGTATCACTTTTCTGTTAATCGAGAATCGAGCATAATGGATATAGATAGATAGATAGATATGTATGTGTGTATAATCCATCCATTCACTCACCTCTGTCGCCAGTTGCGGTTCATGCTGTTGCTGCGCTTGTAGTTGAAACGGGACTCTGTTTCGCGCATCGAACGCTGGTACTTCTTCATCTTTACCCACGAACGGCCGGCGGCATCGAAGGTGCACCAAATGGTGATCAATGTGATCAGGACCAGTGCCCAATTGCAAATGATGATGGCTGAGCAGAAAACATAAATAATAATTTAATCAGTACAAATTTGCCATAAACAGCCACAGAATGTGCTACAAAAGCAGCAGCAGAGAGAGAGAGAGACTCACCCACAAAGACCTTTTTGGGATCATCAATTGGCGATGTGGCATAATATTGGCCCAGCCAAACCGAACCGACCGTCAGCCAGGCGATATCAAATAATATCACCACTAAAAAAAAAAAGAAAAACGAATATCGTAATATAAAAAAATTATCCATGTATAATTATAATTATGTTCCTGGCGCATACTTACAACTCTTGAGATATATCCATATATTGATAGAATTACGCGCCTCGGCATCCAGAATGCTGCCACGCATCGAGATCACACAGATGCCTATTTCTACGCATATTGAAACTGCAACCAAGAAAACAAACAAAGCAAAGCAAAACAAAACAAAACAAAAAGTACAAATTACAATACCAGCTCCAGCGATAATGGAAAATGTTGTTTGCTTTGAATACTTACAAAATAGTATTAACAAGTAGCCTATTAGATGATAGAACAATAGTTTTATGCTTAAAATTCGTGTATTATAATCAAATATAACCAACGAGACGCTAACAATCACAAAACTGTCACATTAACAGGCAACGACGAAAAGGAATTGGAATAAAATAAAATAATTAAAGAGAAAAATAGAGAGGGAGAGAGAGAGAGAGATATATATAAGTGATATCTAGGTAGATCTGGGCAGTGTGCATATTTGTATGCGTACCATATAAAATGTATCGTCAAGAGAAATGCTCCAGGCACCACGAGATCATCGGAGCCGACAGACCAGCGACGTCTGAAGACCACAAGTCCAGGCATCTGCAAATACAAAAAAACAAACAAAAATGACTGAGCATATGTAACATATGTAAAGAGTTTGTAACATCAAATCGATGGTTAAGAAAAAGGCTATATAGAAAATAAATAAATAAATAAATAAGACACTTGGACACACAATTGATTGGAAATTAACAGCAAACATAAAGGACACGACACATATAAGACAGAATTATGCAGATCAAATATAGACCGATTTGTGACACCGAAATATATAGATATTAAAAATATATTAATTTAATCACGGTGAAAAAAATGGTTTCAAATCAAAGAGAAAGATATTCATCCAAAACGTTAGAAGAGAAGGTAGAAAAGAGAAGGTTTTTCTTGGAAACCTTTCAATCTGTAGTTTAGGGCTAAATCTATGGTTAATGGTTATTTACTTGGTCTAGTGCCAAAATTTAAGGCACTAGTCACAAAAATATGCACAAACCGAAACAGATCTTGGATGGGGGGGATAGCTTTCATCGCCCCTCTAAAAACTGACGCACACACATGTGCATTATTATTATTTATAAATTGTGGATTATAATTAAGTTTCCTGTCTATTGACTCGTAATCTCTAAACACATAACTCACGCAACATTGAGCTGTCGTTTTGGGCAGTGGCGGCCACTGCTTTTAGTTATGACAGTCGCAAGGCGGGGCGGGGTGGGGTGGGGTGGTGGGAACCTCCTTGAAGTCACAAATGCAGCCCTAGGAATGTTTCAATGTTCCAATCAAATGGAATGCATGCACCATGCAAAGGCAAATGCAAAGCGCAATGATGGAGAGCTTAAGGTCCCCCCAGCCGTTTTATTGAATGTAAAGCAAAGCATAATCGACAGTGGCAAAGCAAGGGCAGAGCGGGGCAACGGGAAATAGCATGTGTTCGACATTCGCATTCCCCCTGCGGGCCGGCCATTAAGGAAAATAGTTACCATATACTCGTACTCGTACTCGTACATATGTACATAAATATATGTATCTGTGGCTAATGATGCCATTGAGGGCATCAGATTATCGTGTGTAAGCAGCGTTTAATTTTTTTTTTTTTGTGAATCACACCAAAGTGAATATATAAACACACACAAAAAAAAAAAAAAGCATTCAATATGTGGGGATATATTTTCACATGTTTCCGTTTGCCATTGCAATGTTTATAGATTCAGCGGTAAGAGCCCTCCCAGCTCTCGAGCTCTCTCTCCCTCTCGTACTCTCTTTCTCTGCTTTAATGAACACTCAGCCCGCCACAAGACCTCGTATAAACAATAAACAATAAACAAGAATGTAATCTGCGGCTATTGATGAATTCGACTACGCAGCTCGATATCAATACCACTAAACGATAAGTCCAAAAATAGTACAATTTGCACATGACTTTCCTCCATAAAAACCAAAAAAAAAAAAACAAAAAAAAAAAAAAACCAAAAAAAAAAATCAAATTCATGCTTATAATTTTTCTGTGTCTGAACCAGCAAACTTACGATAGTCTATGACGAAGCACACACAAAGAATTCTTCATAGATTCAAGAAAACGGCACCAAAATAAACAAATTAACAAGAAAACTAAACTGCAAGTGATTGGAACCAGCACCAAGCAAAGCCATTATCTTTCTTTAGAGTAAACTCAGCAGCTCCGCCTCAAGGAAAGAGGCGGCAGGCGGCAGGCGGCTGCTTTAATGCATTTTCCTTTCGAATTCACTTTTCCTATCTGATTGGAAGCAGTTTTTGTGCAGGCCCAAGCGGCTGAGCATGCCTGGGCTAAATATCAAAGGCGAATCAACTAAAAGTTCGAAAGGCCATAAAAACCATTGGCATTGGCCTTCGATATGAACTTTGCCCCCCCCAACGAACAATGAACGGGAGCTTGGGAGCATGGGAGCATGGGAGCATGATTTTGCATTCATTTTGCACTCCGTTTGCCGTGTGGCCAATGAGCCATGATATGGGCAGGCCCCCATTCAGAGAGGCAGGTGCAAAAGGTGAAGCAATTTTCTCTATTGAAAAGAAAATCCAACCATTAGACGGCCATCAGAGGCAGGCATTGTCCAGTCCAAAAGCGAAGCAGCTGCTGGCCAGCGAAATCTTTAAGTTCGAATTTAAAGGGAATTCCCCAAGGAGAAAATTACATCCCACAATAAATTATTATTTATTCTTTGATTTGAGTTTCGTATCAATAAATATCACAATAAGTGGGCAGCTCGAAGAACATTATGGGTAGTACTCAAAAAGGGTATATTTCCTACAGGGAATTTTTTTACATTTCCTTAAACATTCGCGGCACCAAAGCTTAAGCCAGATTGAGAACTCATATGCCCACAAAATATTCAAATATTCTACCAATAATAAATATATGTATAAGCGATGTAATTGCCATAATACTTAAATGATATTATCAAGGCCCGCTGATTGCCTGAATAATTATGCCCCGAAAAGTCCACAAAGTTTTATTGTGCCATTTAGCTCTTTTTGTTGTTATTTTTGTTTTGATTGTGCCTGTGGCGCGCACTCGTCGTTTACTCATAAATCAAAAATACATAGATCCCCCCCTCCCCCAACGCTTCTTATTTAAGGGACCTGGCGATTAGATAGCTCCACTCCACTGCGATGCAAGTCCACTTCCAATTGTAGTACAAACAGGTGGCATGCACTCAACAAATTGCTGCAGAGATACGACAGCGCGGGAATCCGTGTGGCAGGCAGCACACAAAACCCCTGCCTGGATGGGTGCCATAAACATCTATAGATTGCACGATAGACAATTCAATTACAATGATTCATTCATTTAATCAATCATTCGTTTATTCATTGTAATGGTAGTACGGAATTACGTTCAATTTGCAGGGGCAAACGAACTCTGCCACGGAATGACCGATACGAGAAATTGCCTATGCCTCTCAAGAAATTATTCTTTGATTTTAGTTCTCAGGTTCTCCACAACAAGTAAACCTTTAAGAACGTTTCCATATCCAATGGAAGCATTTTAAATTATTTTTTGAAATGGCATTTCATTTGAGATTTTCCTCAGAGTTTCCACTCCCATTCGCTTATGGGAAATTTATACAGCAAATCTGCGCATAGCTGTTACTTCTCAATTGTCATAGCTTGTCATAGCCTGAGAACTTTCATTCAAAATATAAAACGTAACTTCCCCAAAAATTAAACTCAACTAAAAATTAGAATTTAAAAAATTAAAAGTTTAAATTGAAAAAGTTTCCAATAAAAAAAAAAAACCATAAATCATGGTTCAAGTTGTGGAGGACATTTTTGGCATTGCCACAAATCCGTTTACGAAAAAAGCTCAAGTGATCCGCCGCTACACCATGACGAACTCGAATCACATGTCCGTGGGCATCATCACATTGGGGGCCACCATACAGAATATTCGGGTGCCCGATGCCTACCACGAGACGGCGGATGTGGTCCTGGGCTTCGACGATATCGCTGGCTATCTCAAGCATCAGGATTTGAAGTTTGGCTGCACTTTGGGCCGTGTGGCCGGGCTGGTCAGCAATGGTGAGTTCATTTTGGACGAGCATCGTGTGATTGTTTCGAAAAATCTCGATCAGAGGCATCACATCGACGGTGGTTTGATCGGCTTTGATAAAGTCATCTGGGATTTGCATTTGATGCGGCCGGATGGGATAACACTGAGCCATGTCTCGAAGGCGGGACACGAGGGCTTTCCCGGCCGCCTAGCCGTCATGATTCACTTCACCATCGACGACGAGAGTCGCCTGTTCATTCGCATCGAGGCCAAATCGGATAAGACCACGCCCGTCGACATTTGCAATCACACATACTTCAATCTGGCGGGCCACAAGGCCGGCGTTGAGGGCCTCTTCGAGCATCGATTCTACATGGAAAGCAAGGAGACAATCGAAACGACCACCACCGATAATCTGCTGCCCACGGGCCGCTGCAAGTCCGTCAATAACTCGGTGTATGACATCCGCCTGCCCGTCTTTATGGGCGATCGTGTGCGCCAGTTCAAGGATATGCCCGTGCCCGGCTATCACGTGAGCTATGCCTTGTCCAAGGAGGCCACGAATCTGGACACACGATACCTGGGACGCTTCCTGCACAGTCCGACTGGACGCTACATGGATATCTACAGCAATCAGCCGGCAATGCACTTCTCCACGGCCAATCGGTTTCCCAAGTCGTCGCACGGCGAGGATCCCATTATGGGTAAGAAGTGCACACGATATTGGCAGCACAGCGGCTATGTGCTGCAGTTTATGGGCTTTCCCGATGCCTTAAATCAGACAATGTTCCCCACCATCATCATTCTGCCGGGTGAGAACTATTTCAATGAGACCATCTATCAGTTCTGTGTGAAAGAGCCATGGCAGTGCTGTGCCACACCGGAGGAGCTCGCGGCCATGGACGAGGATATGGTTAAGAATTCATAAAGAGAACTCAGTGGATGTAGTAGAAATCACAAAGAACATTCCCTAAATTATTATTATTATTATTATATTTTTAAAAATAGTTTTTCTTCAATTATGTGCTTAAAACAATTAAATTCTTGAATTTGTGCTGACCAAAAAAAAAAGAAGGAAGTGCCCAAGAAAATTGCAGTTTTTCTTCTGCCCCCTTGGGGTTAATTGCACTTGCAACCTACCCCCTACCCCCTCATCTGCCACCACTCTTCTCTAGTTATTTACTTCTCTCTTTAGCAAAGGTTTTCCGGCATTTGCGTGACTAGCCTTGCCCACAAAATACAAAAAATATATATATGTATACATATTTATACATGTACATATGTATATAATAAAAATGACGACGTTTTGGCGGTTTATTAGAGGGTGTCAAGCCAGCAGAACGGATAGAGGGGGGCGGGTCGTGTGCCCTGTGTGTAGGTATGATAAAAATGTGGAGCCTGCGCTTTGAGAAAGGTAAACAACACACACAAAGTACATATATAAAGTCCCCACTGTGGGCGGAGTAGGCAACGATTTGGCCAACGAGCAGCTAATGTGTATTCATCCCCCCCCCTTGGCCCTTGTAATGGTGCACACGGGCATGGGGCAGATGGGCTATTATATGACACACTAAACACTGTATTTACTTGGCTTTTAAGCCGATTAAAACCTGTCCATAATTATGCATATATACATAAACAATTTGATTCGCTGTGCAAAAAATGTTCCCATAAGTGAGCGGCCACCATAACAGAGAGCATTCGCCACGAGCCTGAAAGACTCTTCGTGGAAGAAAGAACCAATCAATATCACCACCAGCCACAAAGAGCATTCGCGTCGCAAAGGAAGAACCAACCATCATTATTCGCAAACAGGAAATTCCTATCAGTTTTGTCGTACCTTCAGCTATTCGAATTTATACATTTAACGTTGAACCACAGCCTAGATCTATCATAGACAGCCTGTCATTAGCAGACAGCAGATTGACACACAAAGAGGAGACAGGAGAAGCCGCCTTCCACTCTCCACTTTCAAGTGCTTTTGTTATTGAGGATTGGCATATGGAATAGGCTCAGAATCAGAAACAAAATCAAACAAACCAGTTAAGCCCCCAACAAAGTTGTGTCGCACACACACACACACACACACACACACGCACACGCACATATGTATGTATGGGCAGCGTCGTATATCCTTTTGTCTCTATTGGGGGAGCATGGGAGCCTTGTGGTTGTCTTTCGCTGCGCGTCATAAAAACAATGTCATCAGGAGAGAAGAAGGAAGACGGCGGCCATCGTGCTAACTATAAAGGCCAATGCCATGCCGCCACCACCAGGCAACAGGAAAAGCAGGAAGGAAGAGCGACTGCAGGAGAGAGGCAAGGCAAAAGTAGCGTGGCGCAAAGAAATACGTTGCGGCAGGCAAAACAAAAAAAAAAAAGTTTTTATGGCAACGGATGACATACCATTTTAATGGTAAACGATGATGATGATGGCCGCATTGAGGATGAAGATGAAGCTTTCAGAGTGGAACAGGATCAGCGCCAGCCATAAAACAAACTCCACTTGATGATACATTAGATACATCGATTTAGATTAAATTAGATTTTATTTATGGCATTTTAGAATAGTTGATTTTAAAAGATTTATAAATCTAAGATGCTCTTTCCTGGTTAATTGATTCGAAAAAGTGGCCAAAAGTGCTAAAAGATATGAATATAATGCTTAAGCGAGTGCTGCAAACCAAAGCATCTATTGTTTGCCCTTTTTAGAGACAAAGATTAGCCCCGTTTTGGTTCATTAAAAATGGATTTGAGGTTCTTCATATTTGAAGAAGGTGAAAAGGTTTTATTGGAGGTTGCCTTCCTAGAGGACGCAGCATCATCACGCGCGTCATGCGGCAGTGTCCCTCGTTCATTTGGGTTAGGGTTATGGTTCCTGCCTAGGATTCTTCCACTTGTACATGTTCCGACTGTACTTTAACTGTTCTGTTATTCGCTTATAAAATAATGGTACTGCAATATGTCAAGGCTACTCTTAAAATCCCCAATTGGAGGAGGGAGAGGGAGAAGCTTTTTTTTTTTCTTTTTCGGTACAGTTACAGCAACAGAAAATCTAGTAAGTGCTTTTTTCTTGTTTTCCTTCTCTTTTGATGGAAGGGAGAACGGAACGGGGGGGAAAAGGCGAAAAGGATAAATGTTTGCTCATTTGACATTTTTAACCAATTTTGGAGTGGCCTTTTGGGGAGTGAGAGAGCTTCTACTCCCACACTCGTTGCCATTCCATTCCATTCCTTTCTCTTTTCGTTTGCATTTTTAATTTCTTTGGCCGCCTTTTTTGTTGTTGTTGTTGTTGTAGTTGTTTGTTTCTGTATCGCATTTTGGTATTTATTACATCTAATGGAATGTGGCACAGCACAAAATCTCTTGGCCGCACGTAATGGGAATGGAGCACAACAGGGCAAAAGAGGGATACAATAGGAAAGTGCCGGAAAACCAGAGGAAATGTGTATGCAAGGAATGTTGCTTACATTTTATTTCCTTTTTTAGCTGGGAGCAAAGCACAAGAAATAAAGTTTTGTCCATGCAGCAGGATCAGAACTTTACTAATTTCCTCATAACTTCCAAACCATTCATTGATCGGATGCGGTTTTGGGTGACAAAAGTTTGTAGAAAACAAAATAAGGAAGAAGTTTTCAGAAAGGATTCGGGAACTATTTTTAAGCTTTAAACAGTATATTGCTGGTCAGGAAATGTTTAAAACTATTTTAAAAATTTATAAAATTTATTTTTGTTTTTTCTGTTTTTATTTTGTGAATTTCTCAATCGATCTTCAAGTCTTTCCTTTAGTAAGCAGTGCAGTAAGCAGTTCAACCTTAAAGCAGTGTTAGATTCTGTAGGGCTGTTTCTACTCGCATTTGAATGAACTAATGTTAATGCATGTAAATCCAATCAGTCGGTAAATGTTCCGTTAAATATCATACGCATGCAAGTACAGGTGTGACGACAACACTCTCCAAACAACGAGAGTGTTTGCCGGCTGCATTAGGCAATGAAAGCACAATGGCAAAAACAAAGCAAAGGGAGAAGGGAGAAGGAAGAAGGAAGGAGCGTGGAGAGTGGATAACAGCAGAAGAGTGGTGGTGGAGTGGAGTGAGCTTGCGTGCGTGCGTACGTGCGTGCGTTGGTGCTTTACGTGTGCATGAAGCATGGATGTGTTCATTGTGAGTGTGTGTGTGGGCGGGCATAAACATAGAAGGCATCAACAAAAACAAATAAGAAGCAACACCCATACATACAAACGCCCGAGAACAATTGCAAAGCTTCTTAAAGCTGCTAGGAAAAGAGAAGCGAGAAAATGAGAATGAGAATGAAAAGAAGCCTTTGGCATGTTCCGCTATGCTGTGGCCCATTGTTATAATGTGCAAGTACCCTCTCTGGCTGCAAGATTATGATGATTTTGAGCAAGTGTTTGGAACTTTCTACTAAGAGACTTAATCAACAAAGGGTATCAAATGTTTCGGTCATCGTGGCTAGTGCTCGCTTCTTGTTGTAATTCCTACAGCTTACAGGAACAGTGGCGATGAAGAGACACGGTAAAGAGAGTTTGAACCGAAAGAGAAAGAGAGAGAGAGAGAGAGAGCGACAGACGTGTGAAGTAGTACCGCATTTTCTGTTCTTTTTTCTTTCTTTCATTTCATTCTCTTTCTCTGCAGATTTTCATCAACCAACAACAGGCCGCCCAGCAGGCAGTAAGAATGCTCCAAATTTCAAGTGCCTGCAAAAAATATGCAATACAAAAAACTGACAACAAATACACGCACACACGTGGAGTGAGAGGATGGGGCGGGCGAGGAAGAAAGAGTGAGAATGGGTGGGCGGCCGGGTGAGTGGTAAGGCAGGCGCGTGAGGTTAGGATGGTGGTGAGTTTTCCTAAGTTTCACAATCCCCAACACACACCCACCCCTCCACATTCTTGGCCCCACCCCATCAACTAAAAGAGAACACGCGTGGAATGGCAGAAGAGACAACACGAAAAAACATACAAAAACGCAAACAAAATCAAGGTATACTGAAGTAGAAGGTAATGCCCCCATTTTACAACCAAATTCTGGCAGGTAAAATACATCCATTTGAAACTGTAAATTATGTAGGCTTTTACACTCGCTCTCTCGCATTGCACCTTACCCTTCTGGTTAAACATGCCTTGGGACAATAGCAAACCAAAACAGAAGCAGCGCAGCCAGCAGCAACGATTTTCATTCCTGCACAAACAAAATCCGCTAAAACTCGCCGATGGTCCTCGCCACAGGCGGGTGCGATGCGGTGGTTTCTGTCATGGCAGGGAGGATGGGGCGGTGGGTGTGTAAGTGAGATTGGAGATGGCGGGTTGGACGTCGACAGCCATGTCGCGTCGCCTGGCGGCAACTTTGACATTTGCATGTGTACTATGCGTGTGTGTGTGTGTGTAAGGGAATCTGCCAATATACACACACACACAAGCACACAGGCAGCATCAGCATCAGCATCCTCTTTAGCCAAATAGAAAATCCTTCAAAGTTTCTGCCTTTTTGGACAGATGTCCCTTGACATTTTCTCTTGCGCCTCTCCAACATATAGCTGGGGGGATGCGAGGGTCCTGTGTGATCAGATCTTAGTATATTGTGTGTCCGTTCAAGAGTGTCATCTCTCTTTTTGTTTTAGTACAGCCAGACGCAGGGAAAAACTAGTGGAAACTTTGCTACAGGTTGTAACATTGAATCAAGGCCATTTGCATTATTCTTTGAGATTATTTATTTATAACTGATTAACTACTTTGTAGAGCAACAGAGAGAGAGAGAGAGAGAGAGAGAGATGGGTATAAATAACAACGACTTCCAAAGAGATCACAAAATAAAAAAAAAAATTAACTTTATCTTTAGCTTACGGTCTTGAAAGCACACTTGCTTCGAATTATCACTGCATTGGGCTACTCTGAGAAAACGCTTTCTTCTTTCCAGCTTCATACAGAACATACCATGGGTATTCTAAGCACACGTTTCCCCTCCTCTCGACGGCTGGCTGTGTGTTGTCCCCAAATATAACTAACCCCCGAAAGTGCTTGAGTCTGGGCTTTGGACCACGGGCGTTTTTTGCCATGATGGAAAACGGGCATGGAAAGGAAAGCAGCGAAAGCAAGAATGCCTGGACATGGACACTGCCACTGTGTGCTCATACAACAGTTTCCTCTCCCGTGGTGCTGACGTTCGTTCCCAACCTCCAGATGGCTGGGAACGACCCTCGTTCTGCTATCCAGACATCCCAGCCATCAGGCAGGCGGCGGCCATCCCCCATTTGCCACCCACCTTACCTACTTTTCAACGATTGCCGCTGCCGCTGCCGCTACCGGCGCCAACCAGAGCGCATCAGCAGAAATTTGTCTATTTTTATCACTTTTTGTTCAATTTTCGTGTGTTTTTTTTTTTAATTCTACCCTCCTACCTCTGCCCGGCTACCATTGCTGTTGCCTTTGCTGTCGCTTCTTGTTATTTGCTTTGCTTCTTAGGCGTCATTCGCATTTTTTTTCTGCTTTCTCATTTCGCTAAACGTTAATTTTCATTTCAATTTGCAAAATCATTCACACGTTGGCACACGTTTTTGTGGAGAGTTTAAAATTAAATATTGGGGATGACTTTTCCAGCATTTCAGTTCGAGAAAACTGAATTAAATTTAGGGGTTGATCTTTAAAAGTGGGAAAGTGGGATTGTTAATCCTACTGATAAAATGGCGCGGTGACATGCAAAATACCAGATAATTGAGCGAACTTATAGATGAAATTTAAAGCCACAATTTTAAAAATTAATTTAAAAAAAGCTTCCCAAAAGAACTCCTGATAGTCAAGGGTCTTCCAAAGTTGCATTAACCAAAGTTGATATATGTATAATTCCATTTATGAGAATTTTGTCCATTATGTTGTTGGTCGTCTGTGACGCTGTGAATAATGTTCTATCGTTGATCTCGCCTATATTTCTGTGCTGCCAGCCTGGCTGTGACCGCTCTGCTGCGATGCGATGCGCTGCTGCTGCTGTCCAAACTTTGAACTACATTTTAATTTCAATTTTGTGCTGTTTTCATTACATTTTTGGCTGTGCTGTGTCCACAATTTGGCAAAATTACAAACTAAACAGTAAAAGTATACAGTGTAAAGTGTATAAAAGTGTGTGTGAAAGAGAACACACAGTAAATATGTATATATGGGTATATGGAATATGAGATTCTTATATGATTTGGAATGAACACTTACCGCAATTTTGTTGCCAGCGCGACCGCTGGCTGCAGTCCGACGTCGACGCCGCTGCTCAGCTTACTTCACCGGCGCCGTTGACAGAGTTGCCAACTTTATGTTTGGTTTACGGTTTTCACTTATTCTGCTGATGCTTTTGCTCTTCAATGCACTGCTTCTTTTTTTGCTTGATTTTTTTCTGTTGGTTGCACTTTAAAAAATAAATGTTGAAACGTTAAAAAAAAACGCACTTGTATTGGGAGAGCTTTACAAAGCTTCACGCTTGGTTTCATTAGCATTTTTGTTGTTTATGGTTAAATCTTTTGTGGGTTTTACAAACACTTTCTCGCACAACAGACAGAGAGATAGAGGGAGAGATAGAGAGAGAGAGAGAGAGCGGCCATGGATGGCCGATGCTCATTGTATTAGTGTAACCAATTTAGCCTTTTTTTTCGCCAATATTTGGCAGTTTTCTGTACATTTGAATAAGTAATTTATAGTTTTGCTATTTATAGCCCTTAAAGACCTTTGCACAACCTGAAAGCTATTAAAAAGTTTATTAGTGAATAGTATTTGCGTGTCTCAAAAATTACTTAGAACGATATGCATACACAGTCGTTCCATAAGTTGTTCATCCACTCTCAAAAAAACCAATTTATTGCAAAGCAATTTTAAACACTTTTAAAAGCCACCAAGGCTGTTGCCTTTTCTAGTTCTCGCTTTTGTTGAGATGAAATTTAAAGTAAAATTCCAAAATTTCATGGTTTATTATTGTGGGTCAATTCTTATTTACTACTAGTCTATTATATGTTCTAGTTTATCTGCTGAACTGATTTTTCGTCACTTTGGGAAAATATCCTTTGGAATTTTCCTATGTATATTTGAAATCACTTTCTCCTCCTTCTCTCTGCTTCTTCACACAGTTTCTTAATAAAAACCTTAAGAATACGAAACAGTTCCTTCTCTTAAGTCATGGAAGAAATTGATATTATTTTGGTATAGTATTTGTTAATTATTTCGCTGATTAAATGTGATCGTTTTATTTTTGGTCTTTAGTTTTTGGCTTTTTATGGAAATTTCATGACAGCACTGTGCTGCTGTTGGCGCGGTGCCTGCTGCCGGTTTGTACCGTTATGCCTGAAGTTTCACTGCGTATTGGCGCTGGGGCTTCTGCTGTGGCGCGGCTGCATTTAATGAGTCTGAACTTTCACGCCGCTGCAGCAGAAGCAGAAGGCAGCGTCGATGCCTCGCAACCAGTGTTGCCAATTCAGCTATTTTCCCCACTAAATCTAGCAATTTTTAATTTGCATGTGGGATATATTGTAAAATAGCGGCAAGCGGGAAATATAGCTATATTCAAGATCGAGTTTTATACCATCGCTAACGAGGTATTTCACAATTTATGATCGATCGCGAATGTAAGGAAATTCCTAAGATATATACAAGACACCACATTCAAAGATTGGCTGGCTTTAGATGGGAAATTCTTTTGCAATTATTGTAAATCTAGCATTAATGCAAAACTTAGCGATTTACACGTTACCTTACTCTAACATTTTCTTTTAGCTACCATCAAAATTTTCAGGCTATTTATAGCTTTTCCAAGGCTAATATAGCTTTTTTATGACCCGAGGAGTTGGCAACACCTCTCGCAACAAGACGCGACAGCTCTGCCGGCCTTGTCGGCTAATTACCGGTGACCGGTAATGCAGGAGCCTGCGTCGCAGTTATAGCTGCGCGTGGGCGTCGGATGCGGCACGTTCGCGTAACCCTAATCCCGCTCCGGTGGATTATGTTGCCCCCAAAGGCCATGTGCTCTAGTGCGGATACGGATCGATATGGCCGCCGCAGCAGCACCGCACCGCTCTGGCTTTCTCAGTCACTCTCTCTCTCTCTCTCTCCCTCTAGCATCATTCTCCCAATCAGATATTCTTATTGGAATCACACAGGCACGCATCGACATCCAACTACATTGGGAGAGGGGTGGGGTGGGGTACACTTTCATTACCATTCAATTGTTTGCTCTTGGACGGAGGACGAGTAGTAGGAGTAGGAGCAGGTGATGACCTCGAAACATCATTCGAATGCAGTTATTTTACAGTTTCTCTTGCGAATCTACTAGTTGGTATTTTGGGTGTCTACACAGAAAGCAATCAACACCACCGCACCAACACCAATAACACTGCCAGCAGCAGCATCACCATCACCATCACCGCACCAACCCCGCCGAAACATCGTTAGTCCATCAGCATCCAAAGAAATTCGAATTGTCTGCCCGCCGTTGACGCCGGCGTCGCAGTTTCCATTCCATTGCTTTCGCTTGTCGCTGCGCTGCGCTGCCGCTGTCGCTGTCGACGAGATGCGGCGCGCTGCCGCTACACCTTGTTGTTTTGCCTTGTATACTTCTTGTTCTTTGAGAGTAATTTTTTGCTTTATGGATTTACACACACGTTTGTTTACGGTCTTTTTTCGGTTGGCGATCGATTTATATACTCTCTATTAGGCACTATTTCTACACCGGGCGTAATAAATTACAGATTTCGATTTACAATATGTTTTTCATTTATGCACCGTGTATAATCATGTAGTGTAGTTTGTAAAAGACGCGCACGCAGCGTCGATGGGGGAAATTGGGGCGGCAGCAGCCCCGCTGGTCTGCTTTTGATTTGGTTTTGTTTTGGCAGTAGAGGTGTCAAACCATCGATGGCACTATCGATAGTTTCGATATTTTACTGGCTAGCCTCTACTATCGACGGTTTTGCGAATACTGACAGATACGACACTATATCGATACCATACCTCGTTACATTGCACAGCTGATTGCAGACTATAATTCCCATCACTAGACTTTTTGAACAAACTAAAAATTAATTTTTAACAAAGTAATATTAAAGTAACGTTAGCTACTGCAAACGACAACTTACTGTGGGAATTGTGACCTTAGAAAAGCCGCGTGGACAAGATGCAGCAGAGAGTGGTTTTATACGGGATTTTGGTCTCGTTTCTAATCACAAATCCAACCACCGACGCCATACAGGCACGCAGCGACAAGGAACAGCCGCAAACGGTGGTCTCAGGCACGGCCGTGCAGTCCGTGGTCCCCGTACAGGCCCAACTTGGCTCCAGCTCCTCATCGGCATCGTTATCCTCCGCCTCCAACTCGGCATTCCATCCATTGGGGCCGAATGTCTTGTGCTCCTTTCTGCCCCGTGACTTTCTTGAGTGCAAGGATCCTATCGATCACAGGGACAATGCCACGGCCAAGATAGAGAAGGGCTACGGCTGCCTGCGATTCGGCGGTTCCTCCTACGAAGATGTGGAGCACACAAAGGTCCAGTGCACCGTCTACTCGGACATCGATTGCTACGGCAACCGCACCTTCTTCCGGGAGGGTGTGCCCTGTGTCCGCTACACGGATCACTATTTCGTCACCACGCTCATCTACAGCATGCTGCTTGGATTCCTTGGCATGGATCGCTTCTGCCTGGGACAGACGGGCACGGCAGTAGGCAAATTGCTGACAATGGGCGGTGTGGGCGTCTGGTGGATTATTGATGTCATTTTGTTGATTACCAACAATCTCCTGCCGGAGGATGGTAGCAACTGGAATCCCTACGTCTAGATACATGTTATGTTAGTTGTTTGTGTGATATTTTAGAATTTAAGTAAGTTTAAAGTACAATAAATTCCATTGTTTAGAAATTTTGCAACATTTTCAAAATAGCTAAAAAAAAAAAACCATCGATAGTTGCGCCCCAGACCATCGATTGCAGGGTATATATATGTATATTAACATGTAACAAACGTGTAGTGACTGTGTAGCTACCGTGTAGTTACCATGTAAAAGAGGGAACATTTTTGGCTGACCTTCTTTGCTGAAAGCTTATTTTAGAGGTAATCCAATAAATGGGAGTCCTTAAAATAAGCCAGATTGTAGAAAATTGATGCATCTATTTGATAAAATGATATTTTAAGTTGTTAAAGTCCTAACTAGCTAGTAATATTAAATTGAATATCAAAATTTATGAATATGATTTTCTTCGGTATATTTTGAAAATGAGAGGAATATTTTGGTATATTCTGAGGGTCTCACGGTATTTTTGATCTATAAATCCCCGGTCATACTGATGTGGCATAAAAACAAAACTCGGCTAGAACAAAAACATACATAAAGACGCATTTTTCAACCGATTTTCACACAGTTTTAAAGCAACGCTGCAGGCTGCTGATGCGCCCTCAGCTCTGCCAGTATTATCAGAGTCATTAACCTAAGCTGCGGCGTCATTTTCCAATTTTTGTCTCTTTGTGTGTGTGAAATTTTGCTTTGTCAGCTTCATTTTTGCTGGTAATAGAGCAGAAAAATGAAACTTCTACTGCTGTTGGCCATGGCCATGGCCATGGCAGTGGCTTTCGTCTCCGCCACGGAGGAGCTGTCCATGCTATCCGATGAATTCATCAAGCTGGTGCGCAGCAAGGCAACTACCTGGCAGGTAAGACGCAAAAAATAGAACACCGATTTTTTCTTTGTGACGTGTGACACTAGTATTATGTTTTGTATACAACAGGTTGGCCGCAATTTCAAAGAATCGGTGTCGGAGGAGTATATACGAGGCCTGATGGGCGTCCATCCCGATGCCCACAAGTTTGCACTGCCCGAGAAGCGTATTGTTTTGGGCGATCTCTATGCGGATGATGGCGCTGATATTCCCGATGAGTTTGATGCACGCAAGGCCTGGCCAGATTGCCCCACCATTGGGGAGATTCGTGACCAGGGTTCGTGTGGCTCCTGCTGGGCGTTTGGCGCCGTTGAAGCCATGTCGGATCGCGTAAGTTTGTGTACAGTCAGGTAGACCGGTAGCGGCGGCAGACGGCAGGTGGGTGGTGTCTTATCTGATGCCCTGACCATTCGCTTATCGATTCAATAGTTGGCCTTTTGTTTTGCGCTCTGTTGTTGCTATTTGCTGCTGCTGCTGCTGCTTCGCCTCTTTGTTTGCGTCTCGTTTGCTGATTTCGCAATCTATCTCCTTAAAGGTGTGCATTCACTCCAAAGGCAAAGTAAACTTTCACTTCTCGGCCGATGATTTGGTGTCCTGCTGCCACACCTGCGGCTTTGGCTGCAATGGTGGCTTCCCTGGCGCCGCCTGGAGCTACTGGACGCGCAAGGGTATCGTCAGTGGCGGACCCTTTGGCTCGACTCAGGTTTGTCCTCATCTCTTCTCACGCCTTGTGATGTATGCCTATTTAATTTTGATCAATTGCAGGGCTGCCGACCGTACGAGATAGCGCCGTGTGAGCATCATGTGAATGGCACTCGTCCGCCCTGCTCCAGTGGCAGTACGCCCCGCTGCCAGCATAAGTGCCAGGCCAGCTACAGCGTGGATTATGCCAAGGACAAGAACGTTGGCTCCAAGTCGTATTCGGTGCGTAGCAATGTGCGCGACATTCAGCAGGAGATCATGACCAATGGCCCCGTCGAGGGGGCGTTTACCGTCTACGAAGATCTGATTCTATACAAGAGCGGCGTCTATCAGCATGAGCATGGCAAGGAGCTGGGCGGCCATGCCATACGCATTCTCGGCTGGGGCGTTTGGGGTGACGCCAAGGTGCCCTACTGGCTGATTGCCAACTCCTGGAACACTGACTGGGGCGACAATGGTTACTTCCGCATTCTGCGCGGCCAGGATCATTGCGGCATCGAGAGCTCCATATCGGCTGGTCTGCCCAAGCTATAGGGCAAATACTTAATCAATTTTCTGTTCAACGTATATCAGTTTTGTGCCACCACGCCAAAACCAACCTATTCCATTTAGTTCGAACATCCTTGCGTATCGTATCCCCCCGAAAGGCAACGCAATGACAATTGTAGTTCAATAATAATAATAAACAACAACAAACCTGATTGATAATAATAAAGTATTGTAAATGTATTCTATATTTCATGATTATGGTGCATCCTCTCCAGCCTCTCCTCTCCACTCGGCTAATCAGTTTCCATGAGGCTAAAGTGTCAGTGCGGCCGGCTGCTGGCGGCTGGCGGCTGGCGGCTAGCTTTTTATGCATATATGTAGTATAGCTGCTGTTCAGCTCAATCTCTTGAACTTGTTTTGCTTTTCGCAGCCACAGTTTACGCGATTAGTTGCTGAATTGATTAGTCAAACACTGGGTGGCTCTGGGTATGATTTATGTACACTGCTGTACACAACTGTCGTGCCATGCCATGCCACCAATTGTGTCTGATTATGCTATCCTATGTGGTCCATCGAAGCGTGCAAATGTTCCTATGAAATGGCTAAAAGGTAACTGAGAAAACTGGCAAGCAAACGAGACTTGGAATGACCGCTTGGGAACGAAAGAAATAGAGTGCGGGAGCAGCTTAGATGCTGCGGCTATCTGGATTTACTAGCTAATGTATGCCTGAGTGAAACTCTCAGTGAACTCATCTGTATGGCTGGCCCATATATGACTCTTAATCTTAGAGACTGTAGTGCCTAGTGCCACTGGATTTTGTGTGGTTACTCCTGGCTTTCACAATTGTAATGCAATTCTGCTTGTAAGAATCGATCGTTATCAAAGTAGGTCAATTATGAAAACAACATTAGATTATTGTCGTTCAAAGTACTTCTTTAAGCGATGTACTCTCTTTTGAAATATATGCAGATAGGAATTAAGAAATGCTGGCTGCGCCTCAAGAACTTTTCAAGCTATTTATAGTTTTATAGCTGCAGAACATTACGATTCCAGAAATGTCTCAACTCGATGAAGAAGCTCTCAATGCCAAGGGCTATCTCTGTCACCTGTTGGACAGCAGCTCAAGAAATTGTAACTGGCAGGAGATAGATTCCTGGAGCAGGAGCAGAACAGACAAATATTGAAGCTGCAAATTTATAGAGCAAAGATTTCAAAAATTCACATAAATATATAATAATTCACATAATAGATATAATCAGAGTCCCGGAAAGTACTTCATTTTATCAAGCTGCGAAATGCTACGGGGTTGCTGAAAAAAATGGGGTAATCCTAGAATATTTAGCTAAATTCTGTAAGGAGCACAATACAAAAATAAGTACTTCTCGAATGAAAGAGAAAAAAGGCTACATCTGTGTTGATCAATAATTCGTTTAAATATAATATGTACCTACCTATATACTAATAAAAATCACTAATCACTTCAAGAAAATTTCTTTGGAAAATCAAAGTGCATTTTTTCCAAGTACTTACATATTATAGTTAGATTAGCATAGCTATTTAAATGAGTTCAAATAATGCAAAAAGACCTCTCACGATCGTTGATAGTAAGCTGTGCTGATTTCTATATCTAAAGAGCGCGCACTGTTTTGAGCAAACCATCTGCTTGACGCCCATCCATGCAACAAAGAACAAAAAAAACAAAAAACAGTTGTTGGGTCATTACTCACCCATCCATACACCCACTGTATGCTGTCATCAATTTAATGGTACGTCGGATGTCGTCCCCTCTGGAGCCCGTCACTGCATTGCTGTTCATTTTCCAGTCACTGATTTAATGCCGAGAGAGCTACAGCCCCGACCCGCCCTGGGAATGTGATTCCCCAGTTGTATCTATTCTGCATCAGCATTAATAACCGACTAGATATGTATATATTCCATGTCCCTCTAGATCTTAAAGCACTATATTGCCTGGAGCCATTGGATTCTGTGTGAAGTTTTTTTACTCCTTTGCCCGCCCCCCACGACAAGAACGTTTTGTTTTTTTAAATAGCATTTTTTTATATATTTATTTTTCTCATTTGCAACATCAAATAGAACATTATTTTTTTTGTTTGGATTTTCCTTTTGTGTTTTTCTTGTTTTAATTTATGTCTCATGAACCGTTTTCGATTTTGTTTGGGAATGATTAACTGCTATTGCCAGCTCGCTTGCTTCGAGTGGCCTTTTGGTAACGTCGCCGTCGTATTCTTCTTTCTTTATCATATCTTTCCTTTCGCTAACAAACAGCTTACATCGAAAAATACATATATTTTACTGCAGTATTTTTTTTTGTTTTTAATCCAATTCATTTTTCTTACAAATTTTTAAATTTTTTGTTTGTTTGTTGGATATTTGCATATATAAACACATAGTTTGTATGTATGTATGTATATATGTATATATATAGTATATTTTTTTCAACTCTTGTCTCTGTATGTTTGACTTTCTTAAATTTTCGTTCTCCTTTTTTTGAATTTATCTTTAATTTTGCATTGCATATCTTTTGCATTGCATTTCCTTCCCTTTCCTTGTTGGTTTTTGTTTTGTTTCGTTTTCATTTTGTTTGTAAATAGATTGCATTTGGTTTGCTCCACATTTTTGTTGCTGTTGTTGTTTTTGTCCGTAGAACAATTTTTTTATCAATAAATAATTACTTCATTTGTTGTTGTAATATTTGTTATACCTGGACTTTTTGCACTTAATAAATATAAAATACAATATACATACGCTCGCGTACTCTGTGGTAGGTACATATGCATATATTTAAATATTTTCAACAATTTTTGTTTTGTTTATTCGCATACCATGCGATTTGAACGGTTTTTAGGTTTCTGTAGGGGCGTCTCTTTTTTTCTGATCTCGGCTAAGTAAATTACGAAACGATGCAGCAGCTCCATCCAATATGTAAGTATACCTCATCTCTGGTTTTGAAATTAGAATTTATCTGAAGGCTGATACTATTTGGGCAAATTAAATAATTAAAATAAAATATTAAATTTCATTTGGTGGCAATCGCTAATTAGGAAATTTATATTTTTAATAAATTTAATTATTCAAATTAAATATAATATTTTAGTTGGTACGTGGAAGATTATTTTTAATATTGGAAAAAAAAACCGTTTATTAATATTACGTAAATTATATATAATATTTTAGTTGGTGGACTCCTTATTCGAATATTTTTTTTTATTGAAAAAGTATTCTTGAACTCGATTCTTTCCAATCTTCCGATTTGGCATTGATTCGGGTTTTCGATGCCACCATATGGCGCTACGAATTATTTGTATCGAAAATGAATAAAAAAAAAATCCAGCTGCGGGAAGGGATGCCATACATAAGGTATTCTTTGTCGTAAATATATTTCTCTGTAGTTCTCGTATCATTTTGTTGTACAAAATAGCTGCTGTTTTGTTTCGACAGTACTTGAATTTTAATCATTGTTTTGAGTGTGTGTGTTTGTTTGTTTATATGTGGTGTGTGTGTGTGTGTGTGTGTGTGTCTGAACTTCCATAGCGCCAACTATCTGCGGTTTGCGGTTGAGGGGAAGGTTGGCATTTCTTATCATCTAAATGGTGGGTTTTCTTTTTTCTAGTAATATCAATACAGTTTTACTTAACGCTTTATTGGCTGTTTGGGATAGCCAACGCTTACAGCTATTGTGGTGGGGTGGAGGGAGGGAGGGACGGACATACATACATACATATGTACATATGTATGTATGTATATCTGAGAGATCTGTTGTAGATCCGTTTGTAGATCTATTGAAGCCGAAATGCTTAAAGGGTTTTTTACTTCTAGCTTTTGCTTCCAACTCCTCATCAAATTGACATTCTGAGGCGTGTGTGGGTATGCATAAAAATATATATGTACATATACTATATATAGGCGCTATATATTTTTTCAACTCTGTGACTAGTTTCGTTCCCAAAGAAAAAATGTCTGGAAAGTATTCAAAATATGGAATCGTTGCATTCCACACAACGTTCCATTTAATATATAAAAGTTAGAGAATCTGTAAGTTATACTCGTATGTTGAACACGATATTGTTGTGAAATGTGTACTCGTTTTTTTTAGTATTATCTCTGCAATTAATTAGGAAGCTATTCAGGTACAATATGCATATTACGTGTAGTGTATTACGAGTCGCTGCAAACGGCCGTGGCAGGATGATCAAATAAAGTACTGTTACCACACTGTCTCTGGGAGGAATCGCGATGCGGAGCGGGTCGGGGGAGTTACGTGTTAAGCGTATTTTTCTAGACAATGAATATACATATCTCTTGATTTTTGTATTCATAATCTGATCAGTGAGTATAATATTTGTAAATTTTCCCTTTGCATATAGGATATATATATATTATATATGTATGTATAGTATAGTATAGGATACCCTCTACGGACAGAGATCATTGTGTAGTTGGAGAATCCATGAAAGTTATTCCTTAGGGTATGTAGCAGTATTTATTTTTGTTACTTGTTGTCTACAAACAAATTACAAAATTGAAAAGAGAAAACAAAAATGCAAATGCACAAAGCATAAAGAGAGAGAGGAACATATGTATTGTATGTGTGTGTGTATAGTCCACACAACAAAATACCTGCTGGATATTCGAACACACACAGTTTTTAAGTTACCAGCTAGCAAGCTTCCAAAGTTCTTAGTTTTAGTTGCGCTACATAAATATAGTATTTAGACATTACGCTCGGCTTTCCTCTATATAAATGTATACTCTTCAATTTTTTCTCTTTCTCTTTTTCTTTTGCATTTGTTTTGCCGCTTAGGAAGTAGGTTTAAGTTCTCTTTTATAACATCCGCTAATCGAAGGCTAAACCACAATTATACAATATTTATTATATTTAATGTATAATGTATATATATATATTTTTTATCATGTTCTTTTTGTACCGTTCTGTTTTTTTTTCTTCTCTAGAGTTTCCATATATTTTGTTTTGTTGTGTTTGTATTTGTTGGTTTTTTGTATTTGGTTTGCAAGGTGAGAGATTTGTTAGTTAACTTGTGTGGACAGCTTTGGTATTAGGCTCTATGTATACATAACTCTGTGTATATAGTACTACAATACATACAATATATAGGCTACACACATATATAATTTCATCATCATCATCATCAGGTCGCCTTGAGTTTGTTGGGTTTCTACTTTAAGGAGATGTAGGATATCAGATCTCTGATCCACTCTGTTCTCATTTCAAATTCGAACTCAACTTTGGTATTTGGTTTATTTTTGTAATTGTTTTTTTTTGTTTAGTTTTTTCTTTGGTATCACAAAATCGGTTTTTTTTTAGTTTATAACATTTCATATTTGTTTAATATTGATTAACTTGTTCAACTTTTGACCAGCAAAAAGAGGGGAATTTTTCATGCCAAATAACAATTTTTGTTTGTTTTATTTAGTACAGAATTTTACACTAAATATTGAATCCTTCCATTTGGTTTTTTTTTTTTTTTCATTTACAATTAGTATTTTGGTAGCGAAAGACTATCACAATTATGGAGATTTAAATGTTTTCTTTGTGAGGACCTTTATTTGGTGCCTGAAGACTGGTATCGTTCGGGCAAATATACTCGTAAGTATAATTTTTGTTGGTTGGTATTCGGAAGCCGTTAGTTTATACATTTTGTTGTTGTAAGAATTTGGTTTTAATCAAGAAATGCATTAAATTTTTCATTTGATTTTGCAACGCCTTTTTTTGCGCACTCGCTTTAGTCCTTTGGATCCTGTTGTTGAGAGAGAGAGAGATAGAGAGATCTTTCATCGGTTTGGTTTCCATTTTGCTGTTGTCCGTCAATTGGTTGTAGTAACACATTTTTTAAATTTAAATTTGGTTTGTGTTGAACTTGGTTCGCTTTCATATGTTAAGTGGCTTTATATATTGAATATGTTTATTTTTAATTTTAATTTATCTTTTTTTTTTTATATATATTTATGTGGTATATAGTTTTATGATCGGTTTTTACTTTTTATTATGTATTTATTTTCTTTTGTGTTTCTTTAAGTGGTTTGGAAAACCATCAAACAACAGGAGGAAACAGTCTTTCGTTCCAGGTACCTAAAGGGCAATAAAATTTCAAATATTATTTAAATTGTTTTTATTAAAATAGATTTTCAGTATTTCAGTATTTAGTTGTAAAGCTAATAGTTTTGAAATTTTCCATATATTTCGTTTTTTTCTTCTTTTGCAATTTTTTCTATTACTTTTCTATCATATACAAAATAAATTAAAGCATTAAATACTCAAATTAATAGGATTTTAAACTAGACTGGGCCTTCGATTCGATCATAACAAAATAGATATAGATATAGATTGTATGTAGTATTAGTGGGGGATACTCACCGCGTGACTTTTGGTTATACATATGTTGTACAATATTTTTGTTAATTTAGTATTTTGCTTTCATATATACACCCAACCCAATATTTTGTTGCTGTATATATCGCGCATAGTTTATAAATATATATAATATATATTTATGTGATATATACACAGAGGTGACATATATGGGAGGCATCAATGTTTTTTTTATCCTTGATATTATATACTCTTTCTTTTTTTTTTTGTTGTATTTGTTACTCTTTTTGCTAGTATGTAGAACGGAATGCAGGATTGCGGTGTGCTATAAATCTTTCTGGAGTTTGCAGTTCTTTTCGGGTTTAGTTCGTTTTGCTTTTGTGGTTGGTTGGTTTCATTCTAAGTTGTTTTGCTAGTAGGGACCATCTCGCTATTGTTTGATGGCTGTTATCTAGTGATGGCTCAAATATGTTTTTCGCTTCAGATAGCCGCTGCGTATGGGCGATGAAAGTCCTGTCTCGTTGCTATTTTTCATGATTGTTTTATGATGAATTTTTTAATGTTTTTAGTGTTTGTTTTGTTGTGTTGTGTTGTGTGTGTGTGTGATGATGTATTGATTTTTCAAGCAAATTTTGGTTATGTTTTGTAGATTTATTTTTGTTTTTTTTTGGAAAAAGAGAGACAGAGTTATAGTTGAGTGAAAAGAATTGAGAAATGATTTCTTGGTTTTATGGTTCTTTTTGTTTTGTTTTTTTTTTTTTTGCTGCACAACACCAATTAATTAATTAATTAATTAATCAATCAATAAAATGCTCAGCTAGAAATGCGTTAAATACATTAAAAAAAATATAACTAAAAAGGCACAAAAAACTAGGTGTGTGTGTGTGTGTGTTGGTGGTGGGGTATAAATTCTATAAAACACTAGAACTAACACCAATTATTTGCTTCTAAATTTGTTGTTTATAAATGTTCTTCCATCATTTTTGTTAAACTTCAATTGTTGCTTGTTCATGCAGCCTGTACGAGTGTGTGGTGTGTATGTGTGTTGTGTGTAGTGTGTGTGTGTGTGTGTGTGGTGAAATTGTCAGCGTGTGGGTGGTGGTGGATATACAATATTTTATGTGACGTAGTGGGTTTATTTTATTTTTATTTTTTAAAGCGTTTTTTTTTTAAAGCATTTTTGGTTCATCCGTAAAATCAAAGAACAAACAAAGAAAAGATTACAAAATCGTAATCGTAACATTATAAATCATATACAATATTATCTTGTTATATATTTATTGTACATATGTACATATTATACATATCAAACTAAATGCATTTTCTATGTATTGCGTTTATTTATTTACACGTACATATGTACATACAACTATGTTATATTTTTGTTGCATTTTGGCATAAATTTTATTATAGCAATTTTTTGTTCGTTTCGCAAATCAAACATAATATCAATATCAATATAAAATTAAAATTATAAATAATAATACAATGGATCAACTTATAGCATACATAATACAGAATAATAAATTTTGTTCTATGCACTTTTCGTTATTTTTTAATTTTATTTTTTTAAGGAAACAAAACAAACTAACAAACAAAAAACCTCTATGGGGGTATACTTAAACGAAAGCAGGGAAAAACAGGTGAAAAATACCATAACAATCTATAAGGACGACTAGCTCTTTGGGTGGTTGGTGGTGTTGTGGGGTGTGGTAGTTTAATTTTAACTCTTTGTCAGTCAGCCATGAATGCCATATCCTCGTTGAGTTGGCCCAGACTATGGCTGTGACTGTGACTGTGACTGTTGTTGTTCTGATGTTGATAATGATGGTTGCCGTTTCCCGTGTTGTGGTTGTTGTTGGTTGCCAATTGCAGCTCGAAAGCATTGCTAAAGGTGTTGGTGGGGTTGGTTGGTGGAGGAGCGGGCGGGCGGGCGGGCGGGCGTTTAGGCAGAACAGGGGTGGGTGGTGACAGGTGGCAGGATAGCAGATCGTGTGGGGAAAAGTGCAGCATCAAATTAGTTGGTTGGAAAGATTCAAATAAAATTTGAATTTTTTTTTTTGGCATTTTTAGATGAATTTCGAGCTGAAGGTGCTTAAGGATTACACACAGATTAGGCGTTACATATCACAAGAGGGCTTTGTGGTGATGTGGTGGGGGGGCGGGCGGTTATAATCTTCTTCGAAAGAAAAACAAAACATAAATCAAGAGAAACAAAAAACAGAAAGCCATAAAAAACCGATTTAAGAATTTACATACAATACGAATATATGTACATACATACATATAGAAATGGTGATGCATGTCTAAACAAACACAAACACTGACATAGATACAAGATACGTGAGAGTACGGATATACACAAGACAAGTACAGGTAGGATTAGTGGTGGTGGGAGTGGGGTGGCGTACAGATCACAGAGATTCACAAATCATACACACAAACACACACAAAACGGCTCGAATTTGGCACTCGAACCTTACCTTCGGCGTCGCGGATTTGCCGTCTGGCCGGGCAAATTGAAACATCCCCTGGGTATGACCATGCGCGCATTCCCCTTGGCCGGACGCGAACCGCCCACTGCCTGAAGGCCAGACAAATGGGCCGCATAGCCATCGCTGAGCACAATGGCATTCGATTGTAGCTTCTTGCTCACCTAAGCAACGACAAAGAGACAGAGAGAGATAAAGTTAACGAAACGAGAGAGTGATGAGGCACTTACCTTGCCCACAATAAAAATCTGATCGGTACGCATGCCCACATTTGTGTAGACGGTAATATCCTTGCTGCTGCCATAGGCGGCCGTAATTGAGATTCCATGGTTCTGCACCAGATTGTTAAGATAGGCGGTCTTGTGGCCCAACGGATCGGTGGACAGACCGTCGGCGAATGAGATCAATCCATGGGGGAAATTGTGCTGGCTCAGCCACGAGACGACACGCTGTTGCTGCATATCCGGACGACCAGTGATGTAGATGAGCAGATAGCCCAGCTCCTGCCAATGGCGGCAGACATCAACGGCGCCGGCACGCACCTTGGGATCGCGACCCGTCACCGACATCGAGGCGGTAAAGGAGCCATCAATACTAAAGACAACACACTCGGTGAGTGGTGGCACCACGGCCATATAGCAGTCCACCGATGTATGATCGCCGCGTACGACCATCTTCACCGGATAAATGCCATAGCCGAGGGACAGCTGATCGGGTATGCTGTACGAGATGCGTCCATTTTTGTCGGTCATTTCGGTGGTGAGGAATGTCCACTCGCCGGCCGGTGGATCCTTCATAATATGCACATCCACCTTCTCGCCATGCAGCGTGATCATGTCCAGGGGACCGTACATAAAACGAGCATTCAAACGCTGCTCACGTCCCTCCTGGACAATCACATCGTTGGCCCGATGATTGGCGGCCACATTTTTCAGCTTGACCGATGTGCGCTTCTTGATCCACTTTTCGCGCGGCTGTCCCGGATGGAAGGAGGCCGCATCCTTGTCATCGTTGGAGCCCACAAATGGTATGCCCTCAAATTTGCCAATCTGTCGAAATATAAACGCAATCACATCGGGGCTCTCCCAGTAGCTGGCATGGAACAGATGCGGCAATGCATGAGCGGGAAAATTGCTCAAGCCTTCGGGACAGTACAGGGCATAGTCCAAGCGCTTGGTACCCCACCATTTGTTTTGAACTGCGGATAGAAAGAAAACCATTAAGATCTAATATACTTTCTCTGTTTGCTGTCTCGTCGGCTGGCTGTCTTACGGGCATGAATTGTACTGAGGGAAACGTTCTCAATTAGTCCGGAAATCGTGCTCTGCATGGAGGCGTCCGAAAGGCGACGTCCGGCCAGTATATTGTTGCCATCGTTAAAGTGCTGCGGATGCGATTGAATAACCTCCACTGCAAATGGAAAGAGAGTTAGAGAGAAATAGTCTCCAGGATCAGGATCAGCGTGCATTCTCGTGCGTTCTCTTTTGCAGTTTTCGCTTGTGCATCAGATACAAAAATACTCACATAAATGCAATGCCTGGCCATTTCCCAGCGGATATTTGGCATAACGTGGAACATTCACCGGCGACAGTATGGAGAAGCGTGCACTTAGCAGCGGCTCCAGCCGCGCGGCAATCGGATCGGTTGGATGGAACAAATTGTACACCTGATGGCAGTTCGGTCGCACCAATGCCGTCTTGGCATCATGCAGCTTGCGGGCGGCCAGTACAACGGACAGCGGCGAGCCGAACATGAAAAAGTCACTGACTTCAAAGTCCAGTTTGGTGAGCCGCGAATCGCTGGACGAGCTGGAGCGACGACGACGCGGCGATGGGGCCACCAGCAAACGCTTGGCATCCAGATCGGCCTCAATGAAACGCTCATCATCGTCCAGTCGCGAGTGTCGGCTGTTTATCGGATGGGCATTGCTGCTGCTACCGCTGCCAGCGACAGCATCACCGCCCGAGTTTGAGGCCCCCAATCCAGCGGTGCCCGGCTGACTGCCGTTGCAGCGGCACAAGGCCTCGTATGCCAGCAGCGAGCCCATGGAATCCCCGAGCATTACAATCTGACCGGAGAAGCCATGTCCCTCTTCCGATTTCAAAAACTCATGATACACAATATTGGCGGCGGCCACCGTCTTGGTGACGGTCTCGTGGAACTCGGGCGAGGCGACAGCCAGCAGGGGTATGGCCCCAATGGGCACATCGGCTATATTCGGTATATCTGCGGCCGACGGCGAGGCATCGAACGAGTATGGACTGAGGCTGGACAGTATACCCAAAGCATCGGTGCATATCGATGGACAGGGCACCATTTTGATCGTCACGTGTGTCAGCAAGCTGGGATAGTGCTGCCGCATTACGGCCTCAAACGAGCCGCGGAATGTGGTGACATCTGATTTCTTGGCCGTCAGCTCACTGGCGGCATCCAGCACACTGCCGGCATGAACGACCAGCATCAGTATGGTGGTTGGACACGATGGCGTGCTCGGCGATCCTGGCGGCGACGAATCATGGCTGCGATCCACACTGGCCGAGGAGCGCAACTGTCGTTTGTTGCCGCGCTCCGAGGCGACGCGCATTAGAAAGTCCTGATTGAAAATGCTATCCTCCTGTTTTCCACCAGTGTGGTGGCCGCGACCACCACCCACCACAGAGCTACCGCTGGAGGGGCCACCATGTGGCGGTGGGCTGTCATCGCCCTCGCCCAGCAGCTCCAGGGAGCTCCATTTGGCCAGGGAATTGGTCTCATTGGTGTCTGCCAAAAAGAAGCACAAAGAATGGTCGGTTATTCCCTCTGAATGCACTGAATAAATAAATAAAATGGTAAGACCCACCTAAACAATCAAAGAACTCCTCATCAGAATTGGACTTGGAGTCCACCTCCAGTCGTTCCATGCGCCAGTTAGCCACCTAAGGATCATCCGCACAATGTTAATTATTTAAGTACAATTACCAAGCAAATATTAACAACGTTTCTGCTCTAATTTTGTTTTTTGTTTGCAACCTAAGCATACGAGTATAAACCAAAAATGATTGGAGAAGCGGCAGCAGCAGAATCAGACTAATTGGCTCTATTGACTCTCTACAAGAACGAAAGCTCTACGAAAGTCTACTCCTGCGACTAAAGCAAAAGCAGCTGCCTGGCAGCAGCAGCAGCAGAAGCATCGGTGCGTAACATTCTTGTTTACATTTGGCGAAGTATCTCTGGAGCTGCATCAGTCAGAATTCTGGTGTCAATTGGCTGCAATCTATGGCCACCATTCAATACAAAGGGGGCCCATTTCTTTTGGCAGGAGGTGGAACAGCAGTGGGTAGGAGAGAAAGAAAATTTTGCATTCGTGGTTCCTCGCTCGCAGTCTGGAGTCAAGCATGTTTTGTATTCTCGAGCATTCTCTTTGGTACTATTCGCTTGTGCGTCTTGAGTCGGGCCACAATGCGACTGCGTCGCGTATTTTCTATTAATTTTTGGATTTTCGTGCATTCACTTTTGGAGAATTTCCGAAGAATAAGTGAGGAAAAGATGTGCCCTAAAGTTCTTTATGAGTTACTTTCCTTCTTTGACACTTGGCATAATTGATAGCTCATTGCTTTGTATTTTTTCACGTGCATGTTTTTGGCTAAAGATTTCAAAGAGTTTTAGCAAATTGTGTCTAGGCAGAAACTCTCGTCCAACCTTTATTTCTTGACAACTTTTTGTTCTTTATTCATTCTCTGAACAATGGAACGATTGATTGATGTATTTTTATAGATACACAAATATCCAACGCTGAGGTGAAAGATCTACCAGTGACCAGGCCGAATGTTTTGCTGTATTTTTACCAACCGACCAAGCCTAGACTTTAACAAGGTTTCGATGCTGTGCAAGGCAGCTGCTTAAAAGCTAATTCTATCACTACAAGAGAGCAAGGAAGAGTTTTGTTTAACAAATGGTAGGGGTGGGGCGCATTTTTGCCTAAATTAATTACTAGCGATTGGCAAGGATTGGCAATGGGATTGAAGTTTTTTGGTTTTTTTTCTTTTTGATTTGGCGTCTAACAACGGCAACTTACATGTCTGCGCGGCGCTGTCTTGGCATGCGGCTTTTTGGACTATTTTTAGGTAGGTTTGTTGTTGTTGTTATTGTTGTTTTGTTGGTGATTTGTTGTGTTGTACGAGGAAGTGTGTTGTTGTTGTTGTTGTTGTCGGAACGTTGGTTGGAGGTTTTGGAAATTATAGAGAATTATTCGCACAGCACATTTAAAGGACAAAGCGACACAAAAACAGACACGCATATCGGGTAGAGAGAAAGTAGAATCAAAAACACACACACCGAGACAGAGACAGAGACAGAGAGAGAGAGAGACACACACAACAAAAAACAGGCAACAGATTTACATACATACATATGTACAACAAGGATACTAGATGGAAACTGAACGTTCGATTCTAATTGGAAATGCACATTGTTGGAGTGCACATTCTTTTTGACTTTCCAAATATTCTCATCAATATGCAATACATTTTTGGGTTCATTTGGACTACTAATTTTAATATGGTATTTTTTTTTCGCTTTGAATTCAATTGAAAATATATATAAATCTTGCGAGTATTAGAAGCCGGCAGTTTCCATCGGTATAAACGGGATCATAAAATCAACACCAAGAGACAGCAAACGGTAAGTGGAATCCATATGTGGGGGATTCGAACGTCGTCGTCTCTCACCTGCAGATCGAAGCTGTGCGCCGAGCCGACGGGCGAGTGTAGAGCACCCTTTGATCCAAATTTTGCCTTGTTGGCCAACTGTATGCTCTGCGATCGGGAGCGCTCCTTGGCGGTGCCCTGTGTGTTGCTGACGAGATCAACGCCAGTGCCAATTGCATCGTTCTCATCCTCATCGTCATCTTCGTCCTCGCCCTCCTCCTCGTCGGAGCTGGCCTCGGCACTGGGCGGCTGTTGGGTGACAATTGGCGGTATGGCCGGTGCTGATTTCTTTCGTTCGCTGCCACCCGTTGAGGCGGCAGCAGTGGCCGTCGTGCTTGTGTATGCCTCGGAGGTGCTATCTGAAAAAGACAGAGACAGACAGACGCACACAGTGTGAGTGAAAGAAGGCAGAACAGACAGAAAGAGAGAGAGTGTGAAGACTAACCATCGCTGCACTCTTCACCGCTGCCCATTTTCTTGGCCAGTGCCAGCTGTGTCTGACGCTCTAGCTCGCGAATATCCTGAATGGTAAGGCCAAACCATTCATCTTGCCATGCCCAGGCCTGACGATGCGCCCGCAGCATCATTTTGCGCAATGCCACATCGTGTATGAATTTCTCCAGCTTCGTTTGCATGCCCCAATATCGAAATTCAACGCGACATATCTTATAGGCCGTCATCAGGGACATGTTGCGGGGTGTTGGCTGCTTTTTGCCTTTTACCTCCCGCCAATACTCCTCCAGCCAGTCGTCGGCCAACGGGCCACGTCCCGTCTTCTCCGATATAAATTGTTTGGGATCCTCCTCCTTCACATAATCGCCGCCCCATAGCTGATCCTTGACAATATCAATTACATCTACAAGCAAACATATAAGAAATAAATAAATACATTTTTTTGGGGGGCGGGTCGCACTGCTTCGACTGACCGACAATACGATTGCGTAGATCGCTGCCCGACAGCTGAAACACATTCTCCTGATATCCATTGTCTGGGAAATAGTATGTCTCAATGTCCAGCGAGAATTTCTCCACAAAGGGGCAGGTGTAGCGTGTCCTTGTGTATGGATATGCATTCCATGCCTCCTCCTCCACGGTCAGAGCACTCTTGGGCAAGAGACCTAAAAGGGGAAAATGGGAATTAGAAATCATCTAAATTACATTTAAGGAGTATGACGAGTTGGTGGGTTGCACTTACTCTTTATCCAGCCTGGCAAATGATTGCCCACATGGTATATCTTTTTCGTATATTGACCATTGCCGCCGGGACCATCCTTATAGGGTTCATTGATGATTATTTCAACGCCGCTGCCCTCGCCATGGCTCTCCTCGCGGCTCTTTTTCTGTTTTGTGTGTGTGGGTGGGAGGAATAGATGAGAGAATTATTGGTATAAACTTGCCCATCAAAATGCATCTATTTTTATTCCAATTTTCGGGCATTTTGTGTCATGGAACATTGCAAAATATTCCAGGAAATGCATTTTGCAAGTAAATGTTTTTGTACGCGATGTTTCTCAAATGTAAAACATGCAAAAGAAATAAACAAAAGTCTGTAAATATTTTCTAAAGGCAAGCAATAATTATAATTTACTGACTTAATAGAGTCTATCGGAAATTCCTCTATCGTAAACATTTAAGGTACATAAAAACAAAACAAAAAAGTATAAATAAATAAATTTAAATTTTGTTAAAACTAGACTTAACTTATAACTCTGAATGGGGCCCTATAAATGGTGCCTTAGGTTTATAAAGAAAATATATTTTTAAAATATATATACATATATATTCATTCCGGAAATATTCAAAAGCCTTGAAATCATGACTTTGGAGGAATTTAATCCGCCAATCGCAAACATTTTTGGGACGAAATTTCAGATAAGGTCTGACAAACCGCTTGCATCTCTCTTCGAAAACGCATAAAGCTATTACACATACATATATATATATGCAGGTAATTTTAACTAAAAAAAACTATTCCCTTAAAAATATATCAAATGAGTTTTCAGCGTAAGCTTCACAATAGTTTTTATTTATTTTCTGAAAAGAAAGGTGAGTGAGCTGATAGCTAATAGCTATTAGTAGCTGGACTGCTCATCAAGCTCATCAATCAGTCTAACGTTGTGCATGTACTGAATTATACGTCCCCATTGTATGCGTCTATGTACTAGTATATGCATAGATAAAAAAAATAATTCCGTAAGGGTGTCCAATTTTTCTCGAATACGTAAATTACCAAGGCCACAGAATCGTGTGTGCTCTATACAAAAGATCTTAAGCAAGTTCTTGCATATATGTATGTACATAAATACATACATACATATTAATTGCTTTATCTATTAGGAAGGTCATCCTCATGTGCATTTGCATTTGATTTACATGAAAAATGTAATAAAAATGCCTGACATATTGTGGCCATTGGCCCCTCCACTTTTGTTCCATTGTGCTCAAATTGTGCTTTAACCATCCCTCAATCCATTGTGTGGAGAGGCACTTGATTCCACTTACCGCTATCATGTACAGCTGGGCAATCCGATACTCCTCCACGGTGAGGGGCAGCGGTATACGGTACTCCTTAATCAACATAATGCTGCCTGTGTGTGTCTTCTTTTTTTTTAGTTTTTTTTTTTTTGTTCTTTAAATGGTTGATTGATCGGATGCCTCCTCCTGATTATCGTTCCCGTTCTATCCAGTTGCCTATTGTCTTTGGTATCACGCTCGCCTTCTCCCACGCTCACTCGCTCCTCGCTCTCTCTCGCTTAGGCAATCATCGAGTGTAGTGGTACATGACTGGAGGCGACGCTGGCGCCCGGTCGTAGTGCCAGAAGAGAGTACATACGTCTATGACCTGCAAACAAAGGTGGAAAAGAAAGCAAAGTATGAGAATAAGTACAGCAAGGTTATTCAGTGTGGGGGGTCTGGGGGTTGGCTGGCCATTGTTGCTATGGCTTCTTCTTCCCCTCCTCCTCTCACTATCTGGATTCCCGCATACGGTTTGAAAATGTAAATTGCCATTCAATTTATTGATTTCATGGCGGACTGAACGGTGTCGGGACGGGATGGGGACAGATGAACCCCAACAAGCAGGCAGGCACTCCAGATAATCGGATATGCTCTTGGGGGCTTGGTGTGTGGGTAACGGAGAGCAGGGGTGCCTGTCAATTAAATATCAACGACAATAGTGTGTGAGTGTGTGTGTGTGCGTGTGTATTTTGTGGGTGTCCGATAAGGTCAGCCAACGACCGACCGTCTCGCATTTCTCTACAGCAGCAACAACAACAGCAAATTTAGTTTATCGCGCAGAATTGTTGTTGTTGTTGTTGTCACCTTGAACCATTTTCTTTCTCTTTTTCTTTTTTGCTAATTGGATTTATTGTTGACTGCTGACAAAGAGCATACCAATATATCGGTAAAAGTACATGTGTCGTGTGGTGTGTGGTGTGTGTGATGGGTACCGTACCCCTCTGACGCATTCCGCATCGCATTTTGACCTATCGGAAAGTGACAGAAGGTGTGGTTTGACTGCGGGGGGTCGCATACCACCACCATACATACATAAATATGTGTGAGTGGGAATGTGAAGAGTGCACGGCACACATGTGCTATATGTACATACAATCTGTAGTTGTAGTGTCACTTTAGTGGGGAGAGCAAACAGATGGTAATTATCTAAATAATAATTTTTGTTTATGGGACTCTAACCAACCCAGCCCCCGTCCCACTGCCACTCGTGGGTCAGCCGCTTGAATTTTATCATTCAATTATCTTGGCCAGCTGCGCACTGAAATGGCACTCGGCTACTAATTGGAGGATTACAGAATTGATGAAAATGACATTCTGCTGCCCGCCGCTGCCACAAGTGGTGCATCGGTACATAGGTATGGCTGAGAGGGAGAGAGAAGGAGAGCAACAGAATTGAAGCAGCATTCAATCAATAATTATTGGGAGCACATAGACGAGGAAGGAGGAAGGGAACCCACAAAAAACAGCAGCAGCAGCAGGCAGTTTGAGGGGTGTACATGCCATGGCTGTTACATGGGCAGAGACAACCATCAAAAGCACACACACGCACACACACACTAATATACATTTAAGCTACAGTCGGAGCATAATTACATCTTGTCGACTGCCATGGGCCAAAATCCATTGAATTGTGGAATGAATGACAAACCTCAGTGTCTGGTTAGATATAATAATAAAATAATACACATACAACCAAATGTGATAAGGGAAGTATGTACATATGTAAAATCATGATGAGATTGGGCTTTCAGCTGAGATAAGCTTTATACGTGCAATTTCCAAGACGTCAGAAATTTATGATATAGAATAATTATAAATGCAAGCCGCGACGACACACAAACTGAAATAACTTATACATTTTCTCGGACTGACAGTTATTAAACCCTTTAGCGTACCGATCGTAAAGTGTGCAATTTAAACCATGACTGGGCCCCACTGTGCACGAATACACGTGCAAACACGTACGCCTATAAAGTGACCGTGCAAAGTGCACATAGCCGTCAGTGTGTGGTGGTTGTGTGTTGTTTATGATTGTATTTTGTCATTTTACATTTTATGATGTGACCAAAGGGTACAATGCCAAAACCGTGCGGTGCGGTGGTAACGATGTGCTGGCATGGTAGCTCTTATTAAGTTCGACGGCGACGGCGGCGGCTGTAATTGCAGCAGAGAGGCTACATAGTATGTAGCTGCCTTTCATAAGGAAAAGAAAGAAATCAATTTGCACAATTTCAAAAACGGCTGAGCAACAACAATGCCAAACAGCTGCTGCTTTTGCTTTTCTTTAATGGATAAATTGCCATGGTAATTGGCAACAACAAAAAATGCCACAAACGAGAGAGTGAGAGAGAGAAAGATGGTGGGAAGGGGGAGATGCAGAGAGCGCGAAAACGGTAATAAACGCTGCCGAAAGCGACGTCAGCGTCGACGCGCATTCAAGCAGAGATAATTAAATGCGAGAGATGAAAGCCCGCTGCTGCCCACACCCGGAAGTGCGAGGGGGAAAGTGATAGTTACGAGTAACAAGCAGTATGCCAGCGGTAGTGAGAGAATCCGGGTGCATAGGGCGAATAGTAAAAAGGTCTGAAATAAACCAAGTGTAGCCTAAGGCAAAAGGTTAAACACAATTAAAGCAGTAACATCTCATCAATTTAGCCAGATTGCGGGGTTGACCTACATATGCTATATTTGACTTGAAAGAAGCCGAACCAGCAGCCCTGAAAGGGGCACACACACAAGTACACAAAGGTCGCTAGTTCACTCTCTTTTGGTCTTACTGTTGCTGTTGCTCTCTGTCTCTGCCTCTCTCTGAGCACACCTGTGGCACGCTTTATGTTTATTAATAATTTATAAATATAACAAGGCAGCAAAAGCAGCAACAACGAAAAACAAAAGAATAAGAAGCAACAAGCCAAAGACGCTGCAAGCACATTCATTGTCTGCGTGTACGCGTGTGTGTTAGTGTGTTTGTGCCTCTGCCTAGGGCTAAGCTTTTTAAGGTTCCGATATGGCCAGACAAACAGTTACAACAGGGCCGAGAACGTACTTAAAAATCACTTGCAAGAGCATTTCAATGTTACACCAGCGGCCACAAATAAATAAAAAATAAGGGAATGGAAAAAAATTGTATGTTTGCAGCTCAAAGGAATGACAATTCTTATCAGCCAGAAGCTGCAGCTTTTTGGGGGATGGACGGCGGGGACCTTGAGACCTGGCCACAGCCAACAACACAGCTTACGCATTTACGCACTGCTTTACACTCACTCACGCTCGTGTACACACACACACACACACATGCATACACAAAATACACACTCGTAGATACAGGAACAGCAGCTCGCTTCGCTACACACACAAATACACGATGAAACTGCTGTTATCCTTAACTAATTTTTGCCCAATTCAACAATTTCCACAATAAAAAACACAATAAACAATGCTGAAAACTCACATTTTTATCATTCACAGAGAGGCAGCTGCACAGCAACAAAAACAAACAAATACAACCAATAAAAACACAACAAAAAGTGAATAGAGTAAATATTTGGCTGGCTAGCTCTATTTTCTGTTAAACACAAAAGTTTATCTATGATTTTTTGCTGAACACTTTTCCAGGCCACCACAGATGAAAAATGTTTTTTGTGCTGGCTTTTCTTAGGCTGCTTGCCTTCCTTTTTTGCAATCAAAAACATACACACAGAAAAAAGAAACGGAGCTTGCGCTGGCTACCCGTCGCGTTCGGTTCAGAGAAGGGTATAGTATTGATAAATTGATATATCGAATATAGTTTATTTGCTGTGATAATATTAGGTGATATTGGCCATCAATATGGATATTCTTGTGGAATATATGAACGCAACTACTTTTCTGAAGGTTAAAAGCGCCAACCGCCTGCTTTCTGTTGTTTCGGGGGCCGCGGCCGAGAGCACACTGAACGAAGCAGCAAGCAGGGCAGACAGAGCAGAGCCAGCCCCAGCTGAAAAGCAGTGGAGAGGCACGGCAACGGCACGCATGGGGTGATTCCGAGAAACGTTTGCTTATGTGAAATAGATTCAATTTATTCAGACCGGAATGTATAAGAAAATAGCACTTTAATGGAATCAAAAGCAAAATTTCAAGTGCTGCAGCCCTGGAATTTTGCAATCGATATGCGGTCGGTCGATAAATGAAAATATATTTGTAATAAATACTTCGGCTGCGTGAAGTATAATTAAAAGAGAATTAACGAGAAGTTTGACCCGTTCATCTAATAATGGCATGCCACGGCTAACAAAACACAGAACACCCCAGTTGGCAAGTTGGTCAGTTGTGCGCAACAAAAGCGCGCGAGAAAGCGGCATAGAAAATTGCTCATTCTCCTCTCTTCTCACCCGCAGCCGGGTGACGAGACCGAGACGCTGTGTCCGTCGTAGGTGACGCAGTTGCCTCCAAGGGGTTGTAAATTGGATTTATGCATATCGGCCAATGAATAATATAAATATAATTTCCTTAGAAATTGTAATGAACCTACCACAAAACGCCCAGCGTGTTGTCCTTGCCACTGCAATCACTCACCCGTCTGGAAGGCTGGAATGGGAGGAGGCGAAGCTAGATGGCGCTGCTCCTCCGCCAAGGCATGCCAACAACCAAGGTAAGGCAGTCCGGCTCTCCATCTACTACTCGCGTAATCCCTTGCACCTACACTACTGTAAGATTAGTATACCATGTCTTCAGGCAAGTACGTGCATATGACAGACGTTGACAGAGATAGAGAGCGGAAGGCTGAGAGCCGTTAGTCTAGCTGCACTGACGTATCCCTTCCAGGTGTATTATACGGATGAACCGAACCGATGATAAGCCGCCTCATCCACCACTTGTATCAAAATGTTTAGTAACGAGTTCTCGTTCTCTCTGTCAAAGTCAAAGCAAACATGTCACGACATGCACAGCATTCCGCTTACGTTTTTGGCGTACGAACGGAACGGGCCAAAATCAACAACGTCTTCCCTTCTCTGCCACCAACCCTTCTGTCTGTCACTCTCTTTGTAGTACTCTGGGCATAACTGTTGTTTTGTTGTTGCTTTCGCCTATTCCTATGCATGTGGATAAAGTTCAACTTTGACATTTACAAAAAAACGGCAAGTGCACAAGGCGCATGCCCCAAAAGCGACAGCAACAATAATTGAGTTTGGAAATCATTTAGTGCAAAATAATGCAATATTGCACCAAGCAGTGCAGTGAGCGCTCAAGCAGTCAAGTCTCAGCCGCTTGACTGACACTAGTTGCCGTTGCCTCTGCCTCTCTCTTGAAAGCACTCGAGATTTCCTCTAGCCTCTAAGGCTGTACTGCTTTAATTTGCTTTGCTTTTGTTTGAAGGCAGCACCATAACGGTATTAAAAACCCATATATGCATTATGCTTTTGAACAGATGTTTTGCCAGAGAGAGGAGTAGCAAGTTTAACGGTATGCACATCCTTGCTCTCAACTGCTCCCCTCACAGCTCAATTCGTGGTGCACAGGAAAGTACTGCAATTAATGTTAAAATATTAAAATAAATTCATAGAAAATGGGATTTAATTTTTAGAAAATTTGCGGGTTTTATTTTTTGTGGGATTTTTTAAGGTTGTTTTTTTTTCGTTGTTAGTTAAGTTAAATTTTCTTCAGAGCTTGTTTGTTGTGTATGACATGAGCATATCCAAAGGGTCCGGGGGGTGGGGATGGGGGTGATGGATCCTAGTTCTGGTGATGGACACCGTGGTAGGAGGCCTGCTTGTGGGCTGGGGTACGCTGGCCGAAGGGGCTCTTCTCATTGACCTCGAGAATGTAGTCGCCCTGGAGATCAAAGTCGGTCTGGAGGCCCATGTAGGCGCGCTTGCCAAAGCCATCCTTCTCCTTGTACTGCTGCAGCGAATTGGCAGGCACAGCTGGGAAGTTGCGCTCATTGCCCGGACGCACAGACTCGGCAAAGTAGCGGGTAGCACGGGCCACGGCCTCGATCACGTTCTTGGCACCGGGCACACCAGCAGCCGGGCCATTGGGATAGAAGTCAACATCGCCGCAACGGAAGAAGGTGCCCATGCCATAGGCAGAGGTGTGGATGGCATCAACGAAATCAGCATCGCCGCGGGACAGGCCAACCAAGGCGTTGCGACGCTTGGAGAGCAGCTTGGCGGGGTCCAGGCCGGTGATGCGGCGCAGCTTGTGTCCGGTTTGGGCGGTGAAATCATTGCCGGCAGCACCAGCCACATGGGCGGCAATACCCTGGCCAATCAAATGGATAATCTCCTGGGGCACACCCTTGTTGGTCAGCTGCACGAGCGTCTGGCCGATCATGGCACCGGTTGCAGTCACATCGAGCATGGCATAACGCTTGAAGTTGGTCAAAGTGGATCCCAGATCGATGATCTAAAGATGGGGGGGGAGGAAATCGAATAAATGAGTCAAAGGGGTTTGTTGGTTTTTTTTGGTTTTTGGGGGCTTGCTGCTTCACTTACGATCAAATCACCGCTGGCTGTCTTGGCCGATTTCCATTGATCCGACTGCTCTTCGCTGGATGTGGAGGTGTAGTCGTAGTCCTTGCTCTTCTCCTGTCCCTGCTGCTGCTCCTGGGCATTCTTCTGCTGCTGCTGGAGGTTGTAACGCTGGATGTAGGCCTGGACCAGCTTGCGCATGGCCTTCTTGGCGGTCTGGCTGGTCTGGGGCAGGCCAGTCAAAACAATGGTAACCTCATCCTCACCGAAACCGGTCTGAGCCTTGGCCTTCTCCACATAGTTGTTCAGCTTGGCCTCCACACGATCGCCATTGGATTTGATAATCCAAACGGGCACATTGCTGGGGCTGGGCACAAAGCTGGGCGTCAGATCGTGCTTGATATGGCTAACATGATCTGTGGCGGAAGGAGGATATTATTTAGTGATTATTCAGAAAGGTTGGGGGGGGGTGCATGACACTTACAGATCTTCTCAATCAAATTGGCACCCTTATGCAGGGGCTCGTTCTCCAGACGCTCCCAGGTAATGTCGTTCAGCGAGGGCACATTCTCCAGCTCCGAGGCACTCAGCCATTTGGTGGGCTTCAGCTCGTGCATGCTCGTCGAGGATGCATCCTTGTTGGCATTGACCGCCACGCAAAGGCAGGCCAGCAGCAGGCACAGTCGCAGGCTCATGATTGGATTGATTTCGAATCGGGTTGGGTTGGGTTGGGTTTTGTTTTGTCCAAACGTTGATCGACGTTTGATGGTTGTCTCAGCGATGTTTTGGCTTTTTATAGAGCGCCCGCTCTCAGACGTTCTGAGCGGCGTTTTGTGCTGACCAGAGGAAGTCCAAGTCTGGCTCTCGGCTCTGGGTTCTCTTTCTGCTGATCTTGCACACGGGAATGCATATTACGAGCCAGCGAGTGGGCAAAATGCTGCATTTGCAAAAAAATCCTATTCGATTTTGCGTTGGGCAACCGGATCTGTTATCAGAGAGAGGTTCTTGAACCATACTCGTGTAACCTGAGCCGATTGGAAACGGCAACAAAAACACTTAGCTTAGGTACATCTCGCTAGCAAAAAAAAAACAACAAACTACAACAAAAAACGCAACAAACTTGCAGCGACTGCGGCTAACGCAGCACAAAGTCAGGTGCTGGATGACAGCCCAAGGGGATTGTGCAATGCCTACAGATGCACCACACCAAATATATACAATATATATAGATATATACAAAATTATATAGTGCTCTAACCAGGCACAGAGGGATCCAAGGAAACTAAGTGCCAGATTCTGGCAAATACGCGCAGAGCGGCGGCTCCTTTCTGCCTAAGTTGAAAATCATTTTATGGGAAACTTTCCCACACCAAAGCATCTTCAAGCCGGGTCAGGAGCTGTCCAGCCATTCATATCTTCGATAGCTAGCCCTACACCACACAATTTCCAAATTTCTTAACATAAATATTCTATATACATATATACAGCTTTATAAAACATTGCAATCTAACGCCAATGCAATTGTGATACTCTCGACGCGGACGACTCTTTGCTCTATAATCAACATTTAATATTAAATATAAAACCTTTTGGTCCACACATGGAGCTGCCTTGGAAAACTTTAAAAACTTATAAAGATGTATATCTAAAAATTAAATAAATTCCCGATGGGACATGGGCAAAGGGAATTCTGTATGCCAGATATATGATTTATAGCCATGGTTTTGATGGCCGTGCCCCTTGGCTATAAATCACATCACATTTCTGTATTTCGTTTGGGAGTATTGCAATGCAATCCATTAAATGGTACAGGATATTAAATTCGTTTACACAACATCGAAAATAGTTGCGGGGTTTTCCGGGGTTTATTCTAATAAATCGTTAGCCTAGAGAATCAGTTAGTTGACACGTTTATTGATATTGGTATAGCCAATGCCCACACAGGCCATGAGCACCTTTTGGGCACCGCGCACATCATCGGCCTCGTCCTCATCTTCGGCCTCCGGATTCTCCAGCTTGAACGTAATCGAAAAGAAGTCGCGCAGATGTTGCAGGAAGTGCACCGTATAGGTGGATAGAGCGCCTGCAAAATGGAACTTAAATATTCGAATTCTTATGCTCTGAGCGCTCTCGGTCGTACCTGTTAGGAATTTGGAGACATGCTTCTGTCCCAGGGCCATGTAGAGAGCCGCCAGCCATTGGTAGGCAGAGTCACAGCAGCCGCCACGATAGATTTCATCTAGCAGACGCATGGCCACCTCCTGGCCCAGATCCTCAGGCACAGCAGGGGTATCCTAGACAAATGACATACGAGATATTTTAGGATGAGATGTTCCCATTAGGGGGGGGCGGGAGAATCTGATTATTGCTACTTACAGACTCCTCGCGGGTATTGGAACTACAATCGGCGGCAAAGCAAACGCCCTCGGTGGTCTCGGCCAGCAGACAAATGCCAAATCCCGGGGAATTGCCCGACATTTTGCCACGATTCTGATCGGTATAGATGTACACATCGGGCAGGAATTTCAGCATGCATCCCTTGGCGGACTCCACGGTGCGATTGGCCATCGCGGGCGACACTTTGCACGCATATACCGTGCCGCGTATGCGCTTGATCATGCCCTGCGATTGACACTGGATGGCACGCAGACTCTTGCGCACGGGGCAACGGAACTCAATCTCCCCGCCACCCAATGGCGCCACACCGCGCTTCACCACACGCAGATCGAGGCCCTCATCCACCAGGAGGAAGCGTTTCAGCAGGGACAAAGCGGCCCCCTTGATGTGATCCACCGAGGGTGAGTCCTTGCTGTTGGTCACGCCGCGCAGAGTGCAGTGCAGCGAATTCTTGCAGAATGGCCCCAGGGCAATCAAAGCATCCAAATAGTAGCCAATGCCACGCTGGACACAGCAATCGTGATGGATTTGGCCGCCATGCAGCAGGCCGGGCGTGAACATAACACTGGTGCCGGCCGGATTGAGTTCGATTCGTGTGCCATTCGTGATTTTGTCCAGTAAACGTATCAGACTGATCTCGTATTCCCTTAGACCGGGGGCGGATTCATCCTCGGAGCGAATTTGTGTGATCTTAAGGGGCTTGCCGGATAGGCAAGCGAGGATTAGGCGCTGCTTAAGGAAGTTGCTGCCACGGTAAATCAGGCAATTGCCTTCCTGCGCCACTGGCGGCATCGTTTAACTTATATTTAACACAATTTACTTAAATTATTTCTGCACAGCCCTATGCACGTGCGTCCAGAACAGGTAAACAACAATCGATACGGTAATCGATATAGTATCGATGTTTTGCTAGCTATGTATGGTGCCGATCTGGCAGCCTTGTCTTAGAGTCGTAAACCATCGCAAGCCGCAAAACATCGATAGTGCCCGCGATGCTTTGACACCTCGACTCGATACATCCGCGGTCACACTAATTGTCTGCCGCCGTTTTTGTGTGAACAAAAAAATTTTGCTGCTCCTGAAAATGTCGTCGCACAAGCTCCTGAAGGTAGCACCATCCGACAAAGATGACTACCTCATCTGTCCGTTTGCCGAAGCTCATTCCATTTTGCGCAGTCGCATGGCCGTACACTTGGTCCGCTGCGCCCCCAATCATCATGGCTCCAAGAAAGTCCGCTGTCCGTTCAACATCACCCATATTTTGACCATAACTGAGATGAAGGTAAGCGTTGGCTTGGCCATTTATCAGTCCATTAAACAATATAAGCAATCGGTTGGTTTTGCTTTTATTCTCATCAGATTCATGTCGAGGAGTGTCCAGATCGCTCTTCATTCGCGGAATTCGTGAATCCGGATAAACTGAGCGCGCCTGAGGCGCTCCCTCACGAGAAAAAGGAGCCAATCGAGTCCAGTGAGAATTGGGACGACGAGCCGGCGGTGGCCACTTACGATCCTATTGCTTATTGCAACAAAAAATTTCTAATTCGTAATCCCCAGGGCAATCCGCCAGCAGTGCGACGCGAAATACGCCATAACGAACGTATGCGCTTTAACGAACATAAGAGACGCGAAGAAATGTTTAAGAAAAATAAATAGTCGCATTATATGAGAATATATTCACGGACGAGTGTGTACACATATGTATACGTACGAATTTACATACATACATAGCTGGTTTTCTGCATTTTGTCATTTGATCTATTCTCTTCCCTTTGCTTCCTATTCGTTTCCCCTTTTGAAAATTTACCGCAATATCGCACGGAGACCAACGCTTGACCAAAATTTGTTTGCGGCGGAGGTGATCACGAGTTTAATCAATTTTAAATTTTTTTTTTTTATATAAAAATGTGCTGAAACATTTCTCGTAATTCACTTACTTATTTAGACAATATAATTAACAGAAGGGCAAAGAACCGTTTTATTTAAATTTGTGATCGCCTGTTCTGCGTAGAGGATACCAAGGGTATATATGTTTTAGCTGCAGGCAACTCATTTATTATCTCAAATTTCCTGCATGCATAGGTGCCTTGTTTCACACTTCCTAATGTTTAAAATATTCGATTCCATAGACTATATTATTGCTAGAACAAACTATATTAAAAATACAATCAAGACCGTCGATATAATATTGAGAGCGGAAAGGAAAATAGGGTATACAATTGGCCATACTCGATAACATATAGCTGATATGTAGTTACCATGTACAGTAATTGACATTTTTGGCTTGAACCTTATTTTATAAACAATGCAATAATAAGGAGTCCCTAAAATGAGCCAATCTTTTAGATAACTGAGTCATCAATGGAATAAAATTATTTGTTTAGGGCTGAGAGAGCTAAATAGCTAGTATTATCAAACGGAATATCAAATTCGAGGAATATCAACATTGAATGTTTTGAAGAAAAAACAATCGATACTATCGTGATAGTATCGGGCTCAAAAAATTATTAAAAAACCATTGAAACCTGTTAGGAACTTGTCCAACTTGCAATCTTGTAAAAATTAGATGCCACCTGTCGATTTGTTTACAAATGTGTCTTCGTATTTTATAGCAGCCCATCCAAACATATCATAAGCGCACAGTCAAGCTCGATACTATCATGATAGTCGCAAAACAGTCGATAGTAGAGGCACATACAAGATGTGCAGCATACAACGAGGGGCGCAGCTGAGCACGAACGTTCCCAGATCTTGGGAATGGCCGGTGCGGGCCGCGCGGCTCATGCGGCACCAGCCGACGGCAGCAGCGGTTGTGTACCTCCAAAATATATGTGCAGAATAATTTTTAGCTGCCGAAACCGACGTTATTTCAGTTACGTAAACGGGTGTGCCGATCACCCTGGGCAGGCCGTTTGAATTGGTTTTCGTTTTGTTTTGAGGGCTGGTGTGTAGCGACCATCAGGGCCGGATCAACCCTCAACCGACGAAGCGGTCATAAAATATTTTTTCGTTTTGTTTTGAGCTGATGTTGCGACGGGCGCGCGGTTCCTTTAGGCTAGCCTTTGCCTCTGCTTCGGCTCGTCAATGCCTCAACCCGCGTCGAGTCGAGCGACCTCAACCGGGCGCCACAACTGGGGCCCCCTTGATTTTTCTCAGTGGCAGTTGAACCTCCAAATATGAATACAAATATAATGGCCACTGAGATACAAAGGGGGCAGGGGGGGGGGGACCGGCCCGAAAGGGCCACACACGCCCACAACAACAGGGCCACAGGCCACACCCAGAGGAGCACGGGTTGGGCTTCAGTCATTTTGGGGTACGCACACGCGGTGCCACGGGGCGCGAGCCGACGCGGCCCCCGAACGCGGCCATCCCAGCCGGCGGCGCGCGCGCCAGCGCGCCCCCGGAGCGCCCGAGGTAGTGGTAGAGGCTAGCAGTAAAATATCGAAACTATCGATAGTGGCTCACAATTAAACGCAGAAATGAGTCCGGAGAGCGTTTTGAGTGCTCTCTTTCGACTGGGTCATGGCAAGGTATGGCCCCAGTATTAAGCCGGCCAAACTTTATTTAAGGGCCTCGTAAGGACCTCACCCTAGCCCCGACGGACTAAATATACCATGTTTGCGCGAAAGCACAAAATCCCGCACGGTGAGTTATGTGGTGAGGTGGGTATTTTTCTTGAAAGTTCTGAATTTTGTGACGTCATACTTCACACCTCATATCTTATGCTTGCGGCGCAAACAAAAGTTTAGTCGTGTAACGTCGCTTTGGCCGTTTTTGTTTGGACCCTATTATCCAAACAATCCCATTAAAAATAGTTCTGAAAACAAGCCAATCCTAAACAAAATTCATTGAGGAACTGGATAAAATTATTGTTTTAGGGCTGAGAGGGCCAACTAGCTAGTAATGTTAAACGGAATATCAAAATCGAGGAATATCATGTCACAAAATATCATGGTATGGCAGCCCTTAGCAACTACGAATTGCACGAGTCTGGCAGCGCCTCAAAAACGACGTCACATTCGTTTTATGTTGTTTTTGTTTGAACCTTAATATGTAAATAATCCAATAAAAAGTACTTCTGAAAACTTGCCAATCATGTAGAAAATTAATGTATCTATCGGCTAAAATTATTTGATTAGGGCTGAGAGGGCCAACTAGCTTGTAATTTTAAACGGAATATCAAAATCGAGGAATATAAACATTGAATGTTTTGAAAAAACAAAAACAAACAGCAAAATATCGATACTATCGATAGTGCCCTCGATGGTTTGACACCTCTATCACAGTTATTAATTCCACGGCGTACGGTGTTTTTCTCCAGCTCATCCAAAAAAAAACGGTTTTCTGCCCAGCAAAAATCTTAGATCAAAGAAAATTACTAACAACAACAGCGCATTGTATTGGCTACTTGAAGAAAAGTGCAGCTACAACTGCAACAACATAATAAGCTCCATCCCGCTGCTCCATACATACCAGCCAGTGTGTATGCAAGTGTGTGGGTGTGTGCAACTGCATCGTAGGTTCCAGTAAAAAGCAGGAGGCAACAAGGAGACAAATCGGCTGCAACGCTGAAAATCCAAATCATTTTTTTTTGCTGTGAGCTGTGAAAAAGAGTTTAAAACGAAAATTGAAAAAAAGAGCTTTTCTCCCACTGCATTTTCGGGCCCACGCAAAATTGCCGCAAAGCCCAAGAACGAGGAAGTGGAGAGGAGAGACAGCAGCAGCACACCAACAAAAAACAGGCTCAGTTCGGCTCAGCGCAGTCCAGGCTCCAGCGCAGCGCGCCAACTTCAACTTTGTGAACGCACCCAGCCGACGTCGACAGCGCTGCTGTTGCATTTGCTGCAGTTGGCCCAAATCGCTGCTGTTGCTCTTGCAGTTGCAGTCGCCTCGTTGTGGTCGCCGCGAGTGTAGGGCAGCATCGGAAGAGATAGAGTGAGACTCTGAGCAGCGCGAAGCGAAGCAAGCAGCACAAACAGCGGTAAGTGCTAAAAGGGAGGAGGGGAAATATAAAGAAAGAAAGACAGAAAAAAAAAACAATCAGCGAAGAGTGATCCAAAGTGAGAGCAAAAAAAAAACTGGCAATTGCCGGCGAATGCGAAACTAAAAGCGAAAATACAAAACAAAAATACATAAAATAGAGTGGGGGGGGTCACAGTGTCTTCCCGAAATAATGGATGGCTTAGATTTTTTCTTTTTATATCCGTAACAATGGGGATCCTTCTTAGCGCTTCTGACACCACATATGTACATACATGTTTACTCTTTAAGAATCTGTGAAAACAATTGAAGGCCTGCTACTTCCGAGCATCTATAGCAGACCTCCAATTGGTTTTTGGAAATTTCGGGAATTTTTCTCATTTGAGTGGAGGAGATTGGCCTACGTGATAAATTGGACCGGCACGCACGCACGCACAACCGAACAGTAGCGTAGCTGAAAAACAGCTGCCTTTTGTGACCAAGGGAGAGAGGTTTTTCTTTGAAAGGGTGGGGGTATCAAAATTTGTTTTTGTTTGTTTGGCTATACAGTATTTATTTATTTGTGTATTTGCCTTGGCTAGCTCAGGCATCAGTAAATCTTATTTGTCATCAGCTCATTCCTGTTGCTTATTTATTGTGATCGCGACTGTTCATAGACTGTTGAAACAGAATGACAGTAATGATAGACAAATAAATGTACATAAAATATAGGTAACCCTGATATTTTGCCCTGACACTGTACTAAAGTACGTTCAGCATACAATGTTGCGTTCTTCTTCCTCTTCTCTGCTAGGCTTCTGAGCTTTGCAAAATTTTGCGACGCAATTTCGGCAGCGTCGGTTTTATGCTCCCTCTAACATTTCCATGTTGAGAGAGTAAGCAAGAGAGCGAGAGAGCGAACAGCCGAAAATTGTTTTGGTTTTGCGCCCTATCACGAAAAAGGGGGCACAACAAGTGCGAACATAGCTCCGGGGTGAGTGCGAAAGGGATGGATGTCGATGTCCATGCCGCGGCAATAACATAGAAATTTCGTAAAACGCACTAAAACTTTCAAGGTTAAACCGGGCAAAACAAACATAAGAACCGGTTACAGCATATAAACGAACGAGCGGGCACAGTACATAAGAACTACCCAAAAGAATGAGGTAGGGGGGGGGGAGTGTAGAAGAAGTAAAAGCCGAAGCAAAAGCAACAGCGACGCAATAATAAACCTCAGAGGCAACGCTGCTTTATATACATATGGTATATAAGTACAATATATATGTATGGATGTATGTTTATTGTTCTTATGTATTGTATGTTTTACATGTTCGAAAAAATGCACCATTAGCAGGGATGTGGTGTGAAAGAGGAGAAGAGTAGTAGAAGCTTTACTGGTCTGCTGCTCCTTTTCACACACGTCAGCAGCTGTCTGTCAAATGCATACATACATTTGCACATACCTACAAGCAACTTCATTTCGAAGTTATTGGTTAGACAGGGATGGCGCTAATGTTGTGCCGGGCGCTGCCAAAGCTTTAACGGTAACACAAATTATGTCGTTTGTATGCTTGTGTTTGTGACCTTGAATTTTGACAAGGGAGAGTTTGCCCACTCGTACACCCACACACTTTCAATTTTCAAAAGACGCAATACCGTTATTATTGTCTCTAGCTGTAGATAGAAGAACTACAGTTCCATATAC